TTTGAAGCCAAATTTTTCGGTTTTTCTCCATGTTCTGAAAATGGCATTTGTGCAGTAACATTCAGTGGGAGAGTTGCTGTAATGATACTCTGCTTATGCCCTCAGGCTGTATCAAGTGTCAGTCATAGAAAACCTGAACCCCTAATAACTTTTAAAAGTAGAGTTGTAGAGAAAAAAAGAGGACGAGCACAAACTAGTCTTACAAAAACTACATGTCAACATCGTAACCAGGAGGGAGAAAAAATTACATTCCATGTAAAGAAATTTTTAAAGATTGTCAACAGCTCCATTTATTTTGCTGGAGTAGGCGGGGTGTATGACCTATACTGCAACCAGTCACTAGGGGATGCTGTTCTCACAGAGGCTTCACCCAGCAAGGAGGCAGAAGACGTCTATTCTATGTAGAGTCTATGGTTGAAACAGACCAAAAACGATGAGTTTTATTGATCATTATTTGAAACATGCTGTTCTACAGTTGTGAGGATACAAAAATGTCTCCAAAAGTCTAAAAGTTTCTGCCATACTTTTACTTGAGCAAGACAATGATGGACAAAAATGTCGCATCAGGATTATGTGTTCATATATTATAGAAAACACAAGCTGTTAAGACATTTTTAGACTATTGTTTTTGTAGCAAAAGAAACACAGAGAAGTAAAATGTCTGAGTTTGAAACTGACTCAAGTTCCACCAGAGCACCAGTTAGTTATCCTGTATGAGAAACAGACAGTGTCAAATATCCATTTTGTTAATTAGAAGCCTGGATGAGCCATTAGCACATAATTGAAGCCATGAATAGAGGTTTAATGAATGGAAAATTGTCAGTCATTACCACACCCCAATCAGTCATTTATTCCGTAATAAGACACAACTCTTTATTGAGCAGCGTATGATAATATACGGCAGGCCTGGCTGCTGTTGGCACGACAAACAACTCTGATTGATCAAATCTGCATCTGCAGGTTGTTCCACACTGCATCATACCCGGAGAAAGCACGGCAGAGTTAGTAGGCAGTTTCCCCTTTATGCTAAACAGGTCTGTTTTTAATATTTTGGAGACGAATTCATACCTAGGAGCTACCCTCTCCAACTACAGCCCCGCTCTGTTTATGAGTCACCAGCTTTACAGAGGGGAACACAGCAATTTGGGGTTAATTGCAAAGCTCAGGGGCACCTTAGTGGTAGCTGCTGAGGTAGGAGAGACCATTACTCATCCAGCACCGAGGCTTCCCCACAAGGTGCGGAGATTTAAATGAGCAGATTTCATCACAGAAGGATGCTAAGCCAACCTTCAGGCTACATTCACTATGATTAACCGAAAAAAGGGGGGAATCAATTAAATACATGCAATATCCAACTTTCAGTCTCCACTTTAAATCACTACAGTCAACACTATGTTTATTAGATTTTTAATTTGAGTGTTTGAACATTCGTCTAGCTAACTTAATTTGTTTTTAGGAAAGTTAAACGTCTGAAAGTGACATTCAAGCATCAAAGCTGACAGTCAGTAGCTAAAAGTCTAATTGTCTTAATTGACACTGAGGTTTAATTATTTTGTTTAAAAAAGTGACTACAAATCTTTTTAAATATATGCATCTTTGTGATCAACTGTAGACTGCATATGAACGATACTGCTAAGGGAAGCTTGTCAAGTGATAAGGATTGGCAACCAAACACAAAAAGAAAACAGTAAGTAATGCTTAAAAAGACTATACTTTGATAAATCTTCAGGTGTTGTCCCACATCGCCAGAAAGATACTAACCAAAACAAAAAAAACATTTTAAACAACAATAAAATGCATCTTTAAATAAGCTGCAGACATGCTGGGTTTCCCCTTTTTCTACATCTGTAATTGTAGCAGCTCAGGAGCTCAGTTTGTGTTTTTAAATATAATGACATACTCTGTAAACTCAAGCTTCAGGACACCCACACCCACACAAAGTGTCACCTACTACTTGTCACATCATCCAAAGTAAAGCCTGTCTGACTTTGTTCTAGTCCCGCTCATTCCCAGCTGCTTCAAAGGCATCATTAGATTAAAGAGAGCCGGGGATACTCTCCTTTTTCATCTGTGCTACACGGCAGCATGAGGCAGCTCAGCTGCTGGAATTTGAATGAGCGAGATTTAAATGACAAGAATGGCTGAAGAGGATAACGTATGGATTTAACATGTTCACATTTATGTTTGCAGCAATATCCTGCTGTGCAGAGAGCTTTGTCGGTTATAATAGCAGTAGAGTTTCCTACAGACATCGACTCAACTCTTCCCCTAATTATTAGGTGAACAAAATCCCCAGAAGTCCTCCTCAAAGAGGTAAAATACTCTGCAGTGTGTACTTTTGTTTTTGTAAAAAGTTAAAAGGATGTCACCAAGATTGAACCGGATTTGGCATACACTCTTTTTTTTTTGCTTTGATATTCTCCTCAGTTTGTTGTTTTTTTCTGATCTTTAGGTTCGTGTTTGCTGAGTTTTTCTCCCTTCAGAAAGTGTGTGACTTTTACTCCAATAATAAAAGTTGTTTGATATTTGGGGGAAAAAAATCACGTTTTTGTACTCTGGTAGAGGTAAGGTTTCAGTTTGCAGCTCTATTTCATTGGAGCAGCTAAAGGCACAAAGGCCATACACAACTACTGTTATGTGTACTGAAACAATGGCAGATATAGCACTGATAAATGAACCTGTGGAGCTGTTGTTTTGTCTGTAAATTCTGCTTCCTTTGTGCAGCTGAGCTAACCTGCTGCAGGCAGTGGCCTTAATGTTTATGGCATACTTCAGTAAAGGTGTAAAGTCTTCTCTTCTAGCTCCTTGAGAAAAGTAATTGTTTATATGACTGCTTCCACTTACTTTTATCAACATAGTCTTTTGGCTTTAACATGGCGAGATATCCGACTCCCTGACACAGCTGTTTTTGCAGAGACCGTTCAAGATGTGTAACCCATGGAGGTATCATGATCGTGTTTTGGTCTTGCCAGATTGCTTTATTACATTTATGGAAATCTTAGCTTGTGTTATATCACAAAATACCACGATGACAGCTCAATATTCAAATACATTTGCCATGTACATTAGGATAAATCATTTATAGGGTTGTGTGTGGTGAATTATTTTTCTATTCCTATGCCATTCTTGTCACATAGATGTAACCAGTTGGATATATATGCAGATGGTTTGCTGGGAGTGGATGTAGCGCTGCTACCTGACTCCACATTATGCATAAAAGCATTTGTGATAGGGCTGCCAGTCTGATGTCTCTCATTAATTCCTCAGTTCAGTGGGCTGTGGACAGACACAGCAGATTGACAAGGGAAGAGGAGACTCCACCGGTTTCTTTTTAATGCTTTGAAATGGGTGTATACTCAAGCTTTGATGCCTTCTATTGCTAAATGGGCAAACTTCTTCCCCACCTGCACACAATGTCAGTCAGCTATCGCAGTTGTAATAAAAGAATAGTGTAAACCGGGTGGACAACTGTGCACAATAGAGCCTTATTGCATCAAAGTCTTGTGATTTCTATGGGAGTGAATATAGATATTTGGAAGCTTAGTTTAGGACAGTAAATCGACAGGTGCAGCAATCATTGCAGTTCCCGTGTGTTCAATTAGCAATCACTTCCTGTATAATCTCTGACAAACAGACTGGGTGTTTTTAGACTTTCAGGGATTGTACTGTAAGATGGCAGCACTTTTATGGATTTTCTTGCAGTTTGTATCTTAGATCGACAGCCAGCATGCCTCCTCTCATCCTCTGCTCTTTGCGCCTGTGTATGTGTCAGACAGACGATCAAATGCGCTGTTCTCTGCAGGAAACAAGAGATTTTCTCCACAAAGAGTACATTTTTATTTTAGAGCAGCAAGATGCAAGTGTAGCTGTTGTGCCTCTCAAATCTGAACATATAAACAGCTGGCCCCCGCATGCATAATGCATGAAAGATAACATGGAGACATCTCTTACTGTGTAGTGAAACACATTCACACAGACTTCTCAACAAACTACGGGGCCCTGAGTGTTTGACACTAGGCAGAGGGGTAGATAACAGAGAGATTGAATAGTTGAGGTGTATTTTGAGCAGCAAGCTCTAAACAATTCTTGCGGGAAAAAAAGGTAACTAAAGGGTCACAGCCATGTTCATGTTGTTATTAACATATTTCATACGGTGAAGTGGAGACAGGGCACAAACACAGGAAACTTGAAATATTTGACCCTCTAAAAGCAAGTTCATGGCATTCAATGCAAAAGCTGTTGAGACAGTTCAAACCTCATTGTGGTGTAAGAAGAATATCAGGTTACCAAAGTTATAAGGGTTTATCCCAGGGGAACAAAAATACTCGTACATAATTTTAATAATCAAAGCAAAAGCCACAGACAAACTTCTGGCACAAAATATTTGACGGGAACTTCTTTGTGGCGAAGAGGTTCATGACATTTTATAAAATGTCATGAATGGCTGCTAAGATATCAGACTTTGACCTCATGATGATCATGATGAAAGTACTAGTAATTACATGCATAACTTGAAAATGGAACACAATCAAACTGAGAAAATACTCTTCCTACTTACCAGGAAGAGTAGCTGCTACTTAGGTGGTAGCTAATGGGGATCTAAATAAACAAATAAAAATAAATATACTTCTTCTGGTGGACTGAAAGTTACAGAACTTAAAAAAAAGTTAAAGGAATAGTTAGAAAATATACATATTCATCTGATTAGTAACACTAAGAAGAAGGAGAAGCTCTAACGTTGCTTTTGGATTCAGGATAAGTGCCGAATCGTCTCTCAGATGGCTACTACTTCCTTTGTCTGTCCTCCATTTCAAGACTTGTGGCAACCAGCATGAAAAACCACTGCTTTGAACTCTCAGTATTACCCTTTTTCAAATTGAAGTTGATTGTCTAGTTTGCTGCCACATTCCTGTTATAGAAATATTGGTGAAGTTTTGTGCGGTGCTTTGAAACCAATGAAAAAAAGAGAAATTAAACAAAAGTAGTTAATAAGTCAAAGTAAAAATTTTCTCAGTACTTTTTTATTATTTTATTACAAATATCACCATCAACAAATACTGAACTCAAGGCCTCTTCAATGAACTTTACAGTAAAAAGCAGCAGGTTTGAATTAAAAGGCTGCAGTATGATACATCTGTTGACAGCGTTGGCCTTTCAAGGGCAGCCACTTAGTATGAAACATTTATGTGACGGGCAAAATAATAAGATAGAAAATAATTTACAATAAATATAAATAAGATTAAACAATATAAATAGGAATCTATATCACACTTTGAACATAATTCATACATTCATGTTTTGTGGGATGGGTTTGGTTCGCCCTAGTGGTTACTTTAGTCATCTTTGTAAATAACTACAACCAGGCATCCGACCACTTGATGGATCAGAGTTCTCTAGTGTGTCAAAGATTGTAACTTGAGGTAAACTGTTTCCAGAAAGTCCTCCCGGCCCATGGCCAACATGAGCTTTTGAGAATTAGATTTCCAATAATGCTTTGACGGGGTTGTCGTCCTTCACAATCCCAAAGTTTCTTATTTCTCTTTGCTGTGTTGTGGCAGACATACAGGCTACAGTACCATCAAACAGCATCAACTCTGACCTTGTTGATACAAACATTACAAAGAAACTGCCATAAAAGATTTACAGTACATCGACATTCAGTGTAAAACTCCGCTTACAAAAACTCACTCAGTTTACAAAGTGTGAAAAATATTGTATTTCCCTTATAAAAAATGCCACCTTGAAGGCAAGTGGAGTCGCTTTGTATGAAATGAAAAGAGTGGAGGATACAGAGACACAAAACAACGTATACAAAAAGGTTCCTGATGACACAGTTAATGGCGCTACTCAGCAGCAGTTGTGCATCGTATACGTGAAGTTAAATTGTCGGTTCGTCACCTTTTTTTTCTGTGAATCAGTTTGAACCAAAATGCTACAAAAGTTGACTGCTGCAAGAAGCCAGTGCATTAGCAAAAAGCCAGTGTAAAACTGTGGAAAAGTTTAGTCTTAAATGGCTGAGGTCTTGAGAGGAAAGAGTTAAAGACCTGTTGAAACATTCTTTAAGGGATAGTTACAAATTTGCCATAAAGATGCTACAGAAGTCCGGAAACATTTTTGTACATAAAACCGTTGTCCTTTAAATGCAGTGTTTGGTACTTTAATGTCTGCAGTGCTTTATGAGTCCACTACACAGTTGTGACGGATAAGAAGGCGTTGTGGACCTTGGATCCCTCTGGGACTCTCGCCCCATGGCTCATCAGCTCCTGAATAGTCATCCAGTTGTCCAGTATCTTTTTGTTTCGCTTCTTCATCATCTTTTTGTGACTGAGCTCCAAGATATTGATCTCTTTCTTGCCTTCAGCTCCACTGGCAGGGCCCTCCTTGAGACACTCCAGTCGGCTCTTTTGCATGAACTCCCTCCTCTTCCTCTGCTCCCTGGCCCGTGCCAAATGCTGTTTCCTCTCCTCTTTGCTCCAGTAGCGACCCATCTTCATCTCGCTCATTGCGTCATCATCTGTGGTCATACCCCCGCTCCTCTCCTCTCGGATTCTTAGCGCCCGTTCCCTCAGGATGCGGTCACGAGCAGGCCTTCGAGCCACATAGCGTGTGCCATCAGCTCGAACTTTGACCTTCCACTCTAGACGGGGCTCCCCAGGGCGCGCTCCTCGGTGCACTGGATCTCTGCATATGCTTAGCAGACTCAGCTGGCTCTGGGAATACTCCAGGGATGAGTGCTGTTGCAGCAGCTGCATGTAGCTCTGCAACACAGATTATATTGTTAGAATTGCATCCCCCTAGGGTGATCAGTATTATGTTGATATATTTCTTCCTGATTGTACCCACCTGAAGTTGCCTGGATCCTCCCTGGCCCTGGTAGGGGGTTGTCTGATAGGTAGAACCATATGGAAGTCCTCTCCTGGAATCTCTAGTCCTGCCTTTCTTCTCACACCTCTCATCGTCTGCAGGCAGGGCGGGGTCCGACTCTGATCTAGAAGGGTTGCTCTGGTCTGGGCTACTTGAGATAACAGGGCCTGGGTCTGCCGGTCTGCCACGGCTGGGTGTGCCTTGGGGCTTGGGGATAGGGATTGGGCTCGATGGTGTGGAAGAAGCCAGTCTGAGGTTTTTCTGGTTGGTGATGCTGATGTGTCTCTGCAGAGAATGATCAGGAGACCTCTCCATACCGAGCGGCGTTGACCGCGCACTTTCCGCCGTGTTGTAGGCACTGGAGCTGTCCTTCTCTCGGATCTTATCGCTATCTGATCTCTCTGGGTACTCATGGATGTCGGCCAACCTGCCATGCCGTTTGTGTCCATCTTTGGGGCTCCGTCCCAGTGAAGAAGGAGACTGTGACGGATCAAGCTGGTGGGTCTGACGGAGCTGATGCGCTTGCATGATGCTCTGGCACTCAAGCTCAATGTTACGCAGTTCTTCGTTCAGCATCCTCAACTCCTGCTCCACTCCTTTCCCCTGCTCTAGAACATCTACGTCATCTGCATCCCCTCCTGCTTGCTCAGTTAGACTGCACTCTATACTGTGTCGAATCGAGTACACACCACACTCGCCTCCGTTGCGGATTTGACACTTGAGCTCCAGGAGCTGCTGAAAGCGATTTTCTAATCCGAGAACTCCTCCTCCGTTTCTTATCGTGAGCACCCCATCATGGCTTTGGCCTTTGGACACTGTCCTTAGACCCTGGGTGTCTTGTGGTACTGCAGTCCCTCGTTTTGTATGGGGATGATCTGCCCGCCATTGTTCCCTCAGGCAGTGGGCTGGGGACCTCCTTTGAATTCTTGCCCAAAGAGGCTGATGCTCTGGACTGTCTGTGCTGCGTCCAAACCCGCTGTCTTTGTCTTGATTATTGGAGGAACAGGTCGCTGTGTCTGTTGTCTCCTCTTCAATCTGATGCTGGTGTTCAAAGAGACAGATAGCCAGTTTCAGTATTTTTGTATGAGTGTTATACTAATAGTTGTTAGTATCAGTTTCAGTAACAGCAAGTATCGTTTAGTATCAAAGCTTTTCAAAGTTAGCAAATGGTCTGAAATCAGTGTTTTCCTTTAATTACATCTTACATAGTTTGTTTAAATTACAGGCATGGTTGACGATTGGAGAGATTGGCGATCATGGTCCTATAGTGCGATCTCCACAAAGTGAAGAGAAAAATGGAAAAAATCTGTTCACCCTTGCAGGTGTAGGGCTGCAAAAACATTGACCAATGGGAGCCATCCGTCCCGGACAGCTCCTATTGGTCAATCTCCTGCTCCACCTCTCCATCCAATCACCTCGCTGTATTCGACACACCCCTCTCCCAAAGTTCTGACTCATCCCCTCCCACTCTCAGATCTTTTGCCGTTCGGCTTCTTGCTCTGCCAGAGGGCATGTGTCGTGGGGAGGGCAATACAGGTTTGGGGGGGACTGATTGTGGAGCACAGAGGGGAGTGGTTTGTGTGAGGGGGGTGGGATGCTTTTTACAAATCTGCCTCAGTGGCTCAGTTTTTTCAATTGCTTCTCAGATCATCAACCATCCCTTTGAGTAAATCAATACTGCATCTCTCTGTAGAAATCTGGACCTTTAAAATATATTTAACAAAGTAACTGCAGTTTGGGATCGAGATTTTCTTGCATATACATTGGATCTAGGGACTAGAAGGGACACTTTGGCGTTACACATCTCATGTTTCAGGTCAAGCTCATTTGTTGTATTTGTTGACAGAGTTTTTTGAGTTAATTTACCAACTGCAATAATGACCGTTAAGTTGGAAGGATGGTAAAAGTACAAAAACTATCAAATTCTGCACTTCCCAACCTCAATCTTTACCATCTACGCTTGTCTCGTCCTACTTTCCTACCAACCATGTGACTCTTTCTGTCTTTTGTTTTGACGACTGTCTCCCAGCTTTCACTCTCACCTCGTCTCCCCTGTCAAAGTTAAGCTCCTTCTGCTTCCTCCTCTCTTCCAGGATCTCCATCTTCAGCTCTTCGACGAGCTGCTGTTGCTCGTCATCCAACCATACCTCCTCCTCCAGCTGAAATCACAATACCTTGTCAGAAAGCTTTCTCTGTATTCGCGTGTTTGTAGCAACTCCAGAAAACCACGCTGACAGTTTGAAGGGAGGGAAAAGGCACTTTGCAGGCAGCTGTTGTTATTTGACATGACATGGGTTGTCAGGATAGGGCAAGAAGGCTGAGTATGTGTGTGAGTGTTTACCTGAATTTCTGGTCTTGTCACCAGAAGTATGATGCTCCTCGCGTCTTCACTTGACAGCAATGCAACAGCTTTCTCTCTGTCTTGCACTTCGCAGCCATTTATCTGTACATCAAAGACAGGTGTAGACGGCCACGTTAAGAGGAGGGAACTGGTGATAAGTCACAGGCACATACTCAAGACAGAGCGATCTGTAATTTCACCATCATCTTCTTCAATTAAACTGACATGAAAGAAAAGATGAGCATAATACATGTAACCATTGTTTCCATTCCCAAGACACACCTCAAGTAATTATATGCTGACACTTCCTTCTTTGTTGTGCACTTTCCACCCATTTATCCCCCTCCATTTGTCTGCCTTCAACACTTAACTTTCTTAGCATGTCTCTTCTACCACCTGTCTCTTCTCCTGTTTGCCATCACCTCCCTCAACTCCCCGCAATCTCCAGGAAAGACATGGATGGACTGCGCGCTTGGTAAGGGGAGTCAATTGCAAGCTCGCAGTCCGACCTCGATACAGTCTACTCTCCCCGCACATCCAGACACACAATTAACTGTTCTCTGACAGGTGGCGTTCATCTTTTCCTCACTAGAGTAATGGGGCTGTCAGAGGAAGATAATAGGGCCAAGAGTACAGCCGGCCCTGCTACCCACAATCATTCACATAACTGGGACACGGAAACACTCGCCGAGAAGATGGGGGTACTCGAGAGTGATGTAGTACAAACAATGAATATGGAGGAGACTAATGTTGGTACGTTGTTGTTCGAGAGGGAGATAAACAGTAAGACAAAACCAAACTAGCACGCATTTTTGTATGTATCAAGATTACATTTAAATAAAAGACAATCAAAATGACCCACATTGAGATGCAACGGTTCCTGCAAAACAGTCTGAAACCACTACACAATCCAACAGCATGTTCCTTTTACATCCTTGCAAAAACAAGTATGGTTTATACCAAAACAGAAAGTCAAGTTACCTTGGTAAAAGGCAGTTTTAAAGGGCAAAACATGGTCTTGTACAGCAATTTCTCCCTTAAAGTTTATACATCTACTTGGTTATGTACACCCTGAGAAATGGGCTAAACCGGCTAAAGGTCTGACAGGCAGTGTTGCCAGAGTGGGCGGTTTTCCGTTGGGCAGGTGAATAAAATTTGGGCTGTTTTTGTCCACATTTGGTGAGTTTTTAATATTGTGAAAACAGCTCTCTCTCTCTCTCTAGCTTTAATAATTGACGTAGTTGTAGGCTACTCAACTGGCATCTTTCTTCTTTTTTTTTCCAAGCAGCATAATTTTATTTGGCAACTTAACCGTGACGTCAGGTCAGAACGGTAGCCGAGCTAAATTTGAGTCACCTTATCTTATTTGCACTCTGACTGATTTGTAGCCCACTTGTAGCATTTGCTCGTTTGTTTTAAAACTAGTTTTTCGTGGTTGTGTGTTTGAAATCTCAATCAAATGCTGTACGGCCAGGTCGTGTGCGTCTGTCAGCACCACAGGTGTGCAAAGCAGTGAGGTTTTAAATTGTTTTGCAAGTAGTCCTCATACTGGTCATTTGTGATGTAAATAATTGAATGTATCAGGCCTTCATGGTTAAAAGTGCACCTTTTTACATGCAGCATGTATTTTTTTCCATTGCATGTGTTGTGATTTTATGGGTTTAAATGGGTGTCTGGCAACTTCGTGGTTTGGGCTGGTTTTTATGGGATTGGGCGGGTTCTAAAATGTGATTGGGCTGGAAACTGTTAATCTGATCTGGCAACACTGCTGACGGGTGCCAAGAGCTGCAGGGTTAACTTTTTTATGGTTAACTGATAAAAGCCACTGAAATGGGATTTTCTCGTTTTTTTAAATGAATTAACTTGACTTTGTGATATCCTTTCCTACCCTTTTTCTCCATCTGAATGTCATTGAACAGCCTTGTATCTGTACTCGAACAGTCTCCCTTTAAATCAAAATGTGTTTTTGTGCACACATTTTGGATGCATGAGTGTTGATTTTTAATATACTAAAAACACTTCACACTTTTCCCTCTCCCTACACACTAACACTGCTTCTGTGTGGCTTCATGGAAATTTTGCCATATAAGCGCCATCCAAAAGCTCTGAGTATGGAGTGGGAGTGGGTTATTAAACCCTCCAACAGACTCTGCACTGCTGCTGACTAACAGAGCAGGTTTAATGTGTTTTATAGTTTGTCATGAAAACAACTGGCAGATTAAAAGTTTTGTGAAGTTTGACGTTATATTCAGCATTTTATCATCTTTTTTTTGGTCTGTTTTAGCAGCACTTCTGTTCATTTGAATACTTGAAACAGTTCAGAACAATGTTTTTTTGTGTGTGTTTAAAGTGCTTTTGTCTTGTTGTGAATGTTTTTTTTTTACCCTCACACCTCTCGCTGTGTAAAAGCTTCTATCATGACTGCAAACACTGAGAAACCTGCAGGACTCTGCTGACGTGAACATGTCTGTGACAATCAGCACAGCTTACAGACTCTGAGGCTCTGGAGCACTAAATAGGTGTGACTGCAGCAGCCAATCAGGAGGCCAATCAGAGGCATCAGGTGCTTTCAATTAACTAATTAACTGGCAGGTGTGTTTCAAGCACATGCTGGGGTTTTGTCATGACTTTGTATGACTTTTTTTGCCAATTTGTCAATATGTTGCAGGTTTTTGGGCAGCACATTTTACTTGTTGTATCCTTAATGTTTGCATATTCTGATTTTAAGCCTTACAACACACCCAAACCAGAAGAATGACTTTCCAACCACAGAAATACGACCCTTCCAGAAGCACATGTTTGCAGCATCAGACCCCATGGGTGTCTCTGTAATGAGGCAGTGCAAGACCAAGATACTGCCGAGTGCTAGAGATGATATAGTGCAGGTGTAGCAGCAAGTGAGGACTTTAATCTCCTTGGTAAAATGAGGTGATTAAATTAACATATGCTTGGCCTGACTGGAGAAACCAGCAGCTTGAGCATCCTCTTAAAAGACTGGCTTACAAGTGACATGGGGGATCTGTTCAGAGTCTGCTTCTTTAACAAAGAACGAAAACATGAAATAGGACTTTGTTCCTGTGAATTTGGTTTGAGGTAGAGCATACAAAGACTGCTTAAAATACATGCATAGTCTTAGTGATGCCATCCAGTGTTCACAGGAGTTTAGTTTAAAGGTGAGGTAGGAGGGGGTTTCGTTAAAGAAGCATCTTTTTTGGGGGTGTATTTACAAAAAACTTTTAATATCACTGAACAGCTATTAGTTATTGATGAAATTTAGTAATATAATGATATCATTGTGTGTTGTTATGTCTGTGAAGTCGACATTTTAAATTTTTTGAGTGGCCTGTTCATTCTGACTGTAAACAAAGCCATTCTCCACCTCCCCCAACCTGATTGGTTGTGAGGCAGACGCTGCTCCCCCGTATTGTTCACAAGCCCAAACAAAGTTAGTGTGCCACAATATCAGACAGTAGAAACCAACCAGAAAGTACAGAAAATTGTCTGAATCTTCCTTTGGCCACGACTGCCGACACAAGCAAGAAAACAAAGTAAATACTGAACAGCTATTAGTTATTGATGAAATTTAGTAATATAATGATATCATTGTGTGTTGTTATGTCTGTGAAGTCGACATTTTAAACAAAGTAAGCCAAGTGTCTCTAACAGAAGTGTTTCTTGTCAAACGGGACCTGCTGCGTGTTGTAGTGCCACTAAACTGTTTAGCTCGGGTCCTGGAGTATGTCACTTTATCCGAGTTGTAGAAGTCCTGCAAACATTGTGTTTGCTGGTGGTCTGTTGACATCTACAGTGGCATCAATGCTTTTTTTACTGGGCCCCATGAGTAATTCTCTGAAGTATTTATCTGCATTATATCTCAATTTAATTGGACTGATACGAGTGAGCAGAAGCGTCTGTTTGTGGGCGGGGCTTGCTGGAGCAGAGAGGGAAGGAAGAGGAGGAGCAGAGGGGAAACTGGTTGGGAGGGGTAGAGTTTACATTCAAGATTCCTCCCCAAAAACTGGCACTTCCTCAGATCCTGCCTACCCCACCTTTAACTAAACTTTACATTTGAAAAAGGCTGTAGCACCATGATTGACAGCTTTATTGATAAATTTGACTCTTACGTTTGTGTGTTCACCTGATCAGAGTCAAGATGAACTTTCCCTGCACTGCAACAAAACTGAGGGACCTTCACTGCTTTATCAGTACATCCAAATAGTCTGTCCAGGTCAGCAGATTGTTGCAGCAGTCGGCTCTTAATAGCAGCACCAGAAGATGTTATAGCCTCTCATGGCGGGGTTCTCGATTTAGATTCATGTCTGTATCCATTTTTCTGTACAGGCACTAGTTTAACCAGTGAGAGCTCATGATTTACTCTGATGTAAAAGTGCTTTGGACACTGAGGTAAAAATACTCGCCTGTAGGATCCGGTCTCCTTCTTTGATGCGTCCGTCTTTTGCTGCTATGCTGTTTGGCTCAACCTGCATAAAAAAAGAACATGGAAATCAATGATGACAGCCGGTCATTGTTCTTCTCTTTGTTCATCCTGGAAATGCCACTCTCTCCACCGCTCTCTGATCTCTGCTGTCAAAGTAAAGATCTGCTTTGTCCCACTGACAAGATGCCTATTTTCTCTCCGACAACCCTGTATTTAATATGTATAATACAAGTAGCTTTTAAAGGCTCAACATTAATACCCTGTATAGAAGCAGGTGAGTGACACTGACTAAAGCAACATCCAAGTCTTTGACACGACACAAAAGAGCATTATGACTGCAGCATGAGCATTAAACCAGAAGAGACAGTGGGGAAAAAACAACTTAAGATGTGAGAGTTCACGGCACAGACATGCTGAATGAAACGCCTCACGTTTTTGCAAAAATGCATCCCAGTGGATGTGCATCAACCCTGTGAGCTCCTCAGTAATCATTTCATACACTTTGTTGTACTCGCATTGAAGATCAAGAGGGAGAGCGACACGTGAGAAACCACAGTGGAAACGGGGAAAAATAAGTCATGCACTTCCCGAAGTTGCACAAATACTATGCATGTTTACATTTTAATGAGGGAGAATTAGCATTTTTATCCTTTTATCAAACACACCAAAATAGATGTGCTTCTTCAGCGGGAGACTGTTTTCACCTTCTGCTGGGGCTCAGCAGGTGTGGGTGTGTTTGTGGTTTGGTATTAACAGAGGGATTTAAAATTCAAGATACAAGAATGAGTGAAAAATACTCATCGTGTAATTTTACAAAGCTTGCCATAAGATAAATTCTCTGCAGATCTTTGCCATGTTCGTCTTTATAGCAGCTGCCAAAGTCTGATAATGGCTCACACACTCTTTCCTTGTATTTCTTTGTTTGTAATGGGATTGAAAACGCACCTGCAGATTAACACTGGTCTAATTCACTCAGTTTGTAGTGCTCAAAGCTCCTATAATTCAGTCCTTTTGTCCGCTTTGTCTGAGAAACTGAAACGATTTGTTTTAATTTGCCTTATCAACAATTTGGGGAGAGGAAGTCTAATTCTCCGGGGCTGCGAATGAATTTGAGAAAGGAACCTTTGTGATGTGTCCTGTCTCTATTTTGAGTGGGTTTGGTATTCAGATGGGGTAGAGGAAATAGGATAATGTGTCATTTAACATGCAGTGTAAGTGAGACGGGGGTTGAAGGTTGTCGCTCAGAGCTAATTAAAACCTTCAATTAAAACATGTAAAAGGCGGAGGAATGAAAATGACAGGACGGGAATTACATTTCAACCCTGACTTCTTCCTTGGCCGTGCATGGCTCATTCAGAGTTGATATTTAACTGGCAAACATTTCTGTCTGCTTCTTTCCTCATTCAGTTCGTCTTGCTCTCTGCGCCAGGATGTAAAGACGGGAATTCAAATGGGACTTCACGCCATCTTTTAATAACGAGGAAGGAAACTGATCATGGGAGCCTGAGCTTGATCTGAGGAACATGCAGGGATTTTTATATCAGGCCTCATCAGGGCTTACACTCCACTGCACATCATTTTATTTTACAGTAGAGTAAATACATTTAGTGGGAGATAATTATGAGGCTGGAAGAAGCAATTACAACTGCGATACAAAAACAGTTTAAAGCAACCCTGTCATTCCCCTTTTCCCCATTAAGATCAGACCATTTAATGTTACTATTATTCCAGTTTTCACTGTAAAACTTGAAAAGACAAACTTTATTCAGATACAGGGCATATCTGTTTTTAAAATGACTATCACAACAAATAATAAGGAACATCTGTCTTGACCTGGCTGACGTAGATACCGATGTCCTCCTCGTCGTCGGTTCTGTAACACAGCGTCAGGCCGAGCTTCTCCTGGATGTTCTGCCTGCACAGCTCCACCTCCTGTGACACACAAACACACCAAAATACAAATCACTATATCTCCTGACACTTCTGGCTACTCTGGAGGAGTTAAAGAAACAAATTTAAGGTTTAAGCTTCTTTATTAGAACCCAAAAGGGTTAACTTGTTGTTCAGACAGGTGTATGGCATCCAAGAGACAAAATACCAATGATTCCTCATGATCCAATAAGACACTAAAAGCTGACATTAAAATGACAAAACAAACATTGAAGATTAAAACCAAGTCATGGTAAAGTGCTCTAGACAACAACTGTTCCAAAAAAAAAAAAAAAAAATCCAAAACAGCAGTCAGGCATGGGTTCTGCTACCATCGAGATGTTTAGTAAAAAAGTTAATGTTGCATCCTTTACTCCTCTATGAGCCCTATATGCAGACTGTAAAGGGTCGAGTGCCTCCTCTTCTTTACAAGCTTTTTATCACAATAGATTTAAGGACAACTGGTCTAAAATCATTAAAAGCTTTCAGGCTGCTGTTTTTAGGGACAGGAATGATCACAGCCTGCTTCCACAGGTCAGAAACACGTTGAAAACACGAGGACATATTGAAAATATAAGAACAGATAAAACTTAATTGACTTGAGCATGACTTCAGTAATCTTCCACTGATGTGGTCTGGGCCTGGGTGCTGACTGTCATTAAATTTACATTTTACTTCTTCTGTTCTGTCTCTGAAGTCAAACAAATAAAACAAGCTGTACTATCTGATGTAAAGCATTCCAGATTAATCTTAGTTCAGTTTACACTTATATTTGTACCTGCTATTATTTTAATGCTGAACCACATCTGATGCAAGGTTATTCTCAGCCAGTTTGCTCTCTAATTTAGTTTTATATTTCTGTTTAGCCTTCATGATTTCCATTTTCACCTTCTTTTTGTCTGCAATAATTTCAGAAACCTTACCCATTCAAAAAGAAATCACTGTAACATCCCTGGACATCATCTGTTTTTAGGAGATCTTAATCTGTTTTAGAGGGAACAATCATATCTTCACAGAAGGTAACGTGCGAACAGGCAACATCTGAGGCCACTGAAACCTCAGATGAGGTTTTAATGTCTTTGGTCTGTGTCTTACTCCTCTTTAAGATATGTGGGAAGAAAGAGTACACAATTATGGTCTGCAGATCTATAAGAGGGCATGGGAAAAGATTAATATGCTCTTTTAACTGCCCCATTATAGAGGTCCAGTGTCTTGATGTGCCTTGTGGGACATGGGGCATATTGATAAAAGTTAGTCAAGGACTAAAACCAACCAAACGTCTGTTATTGATAGATGACATTCATGCCATTTGAGCTTGATACAGACAGAGAATAAGACTCGCCTTCTGTAAAATAATGTGAGTAGCTGATCCGTGAGGAGTTACCATCTTGGTTCTCAGTCCACTAATAAACCAACACAGTCTGACATGTTGCTCCATTAAATTGTACAAATGCTTAGAAACATGATCCCAGCATGTGTTGTGTATATAAATGAAATGTGTGCCTACTGGTATTACACCAAAACCAGCATGTGGTAACACACTGGGGGGCTCTTTGATGAGTACAGTGATGGTATTTCATTGGCAGACCCTCCCCTAAAGGAAATGCCTCTGGATTTCACCCTGACTAGCTACTGGCTGCTTTTGATCTCCTCTGTGTATAAAGGTAATCAAATAAAGATAACTCTGGGGTTAATCTTTATTAACCCTGTGCTGCCACATTCACTTCAGCGTGGTGAAGCTGTGAGAGGAGGGGAACGGGGTGTAAAGGGGGATCAGAGCAAGGGAGCAGGAATTAAACCCCAACCCCCAGTTTTTGCTGTCATGGGAAACCCTGATAGCTGAGATTGACAGGGGAAGTAATTAATTTCTGTGGCATTTAACCCCCTGTGCAGACAGCCCTGACCTTCAAAGGCTGGGGTGTGTTAGGAGTTTATAATATCATATCACCCTTCACTCCTCTGTAGTTGAGTACAATTTCTGATTAACACAAAATGTGGCAATGGGATCACATGGCTCTGATGCTATGAGTGAACTTGTTGTGTGCTTTGTTTCACTGGGGTGTACTGTGCTTTGAAGCCCACTGGCATTAGCCTCATAAAGCTAAACAGATAGAAAAGCTCAATTAGTGATGATTAGATTCTGATGTGTGAATCAGTTTCATGTTGGTTATAATACATCTAGACATTAACGGTGGGGTAGGCCGGAATCTGTTAAAGAAGCATCTTTTTTGTGGTGTATATGCAAAAAAGCTTTAAATATCAGTCAATAGCTATTAGTTATTGATGACATTTGGTAATATAGCCATATCGCTGTGTTTTATTATGTCTGTGTAGTCAACATTTTACATTTTTTGAGTGGCCCGCTCTTTCTGACTGTAAACAAAGCCGTTCTCCGCCTCCCCTAACCTGATTGGTTGTGAGGCAGACGCTGCTCCCCGGTGTCATTCACGAGCCCAAACAAAGTTAGTGTGCCACAATATCGGACAGTAGAAACTGACCAGAAAGTACAGAAAATTGTCTGAATCCTCCTTTAGCCACGGCTGCCAACACAAGCAAGAACGCGAAATAAATACTGGAGACTCTGGCAGAATAACGGGCGCTTAAAAAGGAGGTAGACCGGACAAGAACCAAAAAGCCGGGTCAACATCAGCATAAACGATGAGGGACTTTTCCAGATCTTACGGACCCTGTAACCTTTCTACTGGACAGGTAAACGGCTTCAACAAATTAAGCCAAGTGTCTGTAACAGAAGGGTTTCTTGTCAAACGGGACCTGATGCGTGTTGTAGCACCGCTAAACCATTTACCTCAGGTCCTTAAGTATGTCACTTAATTCAATTCGTAGAAGTTCTGCAAACCTTGTGTTTGCTGGTCGTCTGTTGGCATCTACAGTAGCATCAATGCTTTTTACTTTCTCATTGACTGGGCCCCATTTGTAATTATCTAAAGTAAATATCTGCATTATATCTGAATTTAATTGAAACGATACGAGCGAGCAGGAGCGTCTGTTTGTGGGCAGGGCTTGCTGGAGCAGAGAGGGGAAAACTGGTTGGGAGGTGTAGAGTTTACATTTAAGATAACTCCCAAAAACTGGCACTTCCTCAGATCCTGTCTACTTTAACTAAAATTTATCTTGATTTTCTGTTTGATCTCCTAATTTTCAGAGGGATGGATCACATTTACCACACGCTACCAAGGTAAACAGAATTGAAATCTACGACGATGACACTCTGTCTTATGGATCCACATTAACCATCTGTTGGTGGTGTTTCATTCTAGAAAGCAATTAACGATAACTTCATGTTTCATTGGAAAGAAATGATGCTGTCCCTAATGTTCACTGGCTCATTGTTTCCATTTTTGCAGATGATGATGTCCTTTCATGTGTCACTGTTTATGACCACAGGCTTGATCGTGAAGTGGTGATTATTTAACCACTAAAGATTTACAAATCATTTTAAATGACAAATGTCTCCTTATTGTTGTTTTTGCATCTGCTTAAGTGCAAACCAATTAGCTACATTATGGGAAATGGCCATTGACAGCCTCTATACAAACCACTTAACGGTGGCAGGCAGGGTGACAAAAGATCCAACCATGAGGTTTATCTTGATTGGGTTAAAGATTATTGATTTTAGGGGAAACCTTATCTATGCATAAGAAGTAAAGACTTTCCAACACCGAGCAGCGTCTTGTTGTGATCACAGGATGGCGAGGTTTAGTGCCAACACGCATTTGTTCGTGAAAATGAACATTTTTCATCAACTTCTTTGTCTTACTTTTCATTTGGTCACTGCTTGATCAATAGACGGTGATAAAACGTCTTCCTGCTTCGTACTTTCATAATAAATCTGCATATAAAAAGCTCAATAAGACTTTGTTCTTGTTTCATCCCTTGCATACCAATACTTTCCCTGGTTTTGGAGGATTTTGAAAACCCAGCTTCTGATGTTTGGCACCCGCTGTCAATCCATAATTAAAACGTGATTGTTTTGACTAATTTGGCAAACAGCTATCTGGCTAGTCTCTGTAGCCATTTCATTAACTGTGTCTGTAATCTGGTGCCCTAACTGAGCTTTTATTAAAATCTGCTGCCATGCATTCCTTCAAATGTTTCTTTGTTTGGATTGAAAATATTCATATCCTCAGGAAGATTCAACTCTTGACATGATAGCAGGGTAAACTTAATATCTTCCTCTCAGGGAACAAAGCATCCATATATTTTGTTCCCCTTTTTTTTACATCTGCTTTGAGATATTGGCATTATTATGAACTGGTAGGTTTGAAGGAAGTAGCTGGAATAACATGACAGCAGTAATACCTGTGCAGACAATCAGATGAAAGTGAAGCCAAACCTGTCAGAAGTAACGTTCCTGGAAAAGGCAGTCCTATTCTGTCTCATCTGAGAGGAAAGCCATTCATGTTTCAGTTAGACACACATGGATGGACAGAGGTAAGTGAGGATGCCTGATTTGGTGTGTGTACATCTGGCAGGTGGGGGGTGGTGGTTTGACAGGTTGTGTGTTAGCTTTGTAAATCCCACCCTGTTCTCATACTACTACTATCACTACACACACACACACTTACACACTCATACACCACCACCACACAACGGAGACTCTTTCATCCACATGACGCTGTAACGTATAAGGCCACAGCTGGCAGCAGAGGAATCCTAATGACCCACAATGCAGTTCACTGAACCAGGAAGTGCCTATTAAACTAGAGAGGGAGCACTGACAGTAGCAAACATTACCAATCACTGTCACCTAGTGTGGCCTGGAGGTCCACGGTCTGAGTGGTGTGATGTATCTGTCACAATGGAGACACTTGTGGACACAGACCATTGACAGACCATACAAGACATTATGAAAAAGTATGAATTAAAAAGCAGATCAAATTCAAAGAGCTAGATTTTGATAACCATTCGTGATCCCAGGAGAGTTCATCGTGCAGGCTTATTCTCCTTTTTTAACCCCAAGTGCAATCAACAGATTGAACATATTTTAGCTCATAACCTCATAAATGTGTTATAGGGATATTCTGGCGTAAAATTAAATTTGGGTCAAACACACCATAACACCAAGTTAGACAACCCCATCGAAAGATGAATATTGCCAACCGCTTGCTTCTCTAGTTATTCTAACTTTAGTTGGTGGTGGTCTGAGGAGCCACAAACAAACCTCAACAAAAAGGCCACAAATAATGCTCAGAACAGCACCTAACTTCATCAACAGTACATATAGGGTCCCAGCCACAGCACTAGCCACCAAACATCTTTTTAACTTTGCCCAATTTCTTTAGCAAAGAGACTAAACACAACTCACCTACTTCCTTCCAGCAGCTGCTTGTTGGTAGCGAGACCTCAGGTCAGTCCATTACAGACTGCTGCGGGGTGACACAGCTCAAGGAAGAACAATTATCATCATTACCTTACCATTCCCTTTCAGTAATAATTACCATATAAATCATTTCACACTGCAGACGTGGTAGTTCTTCTGCCTTAGCGTCTCGGTCTGATTGCATTTCAATGAAGAAATGATCATAAATGTTCTTCCTTGAGCTGTGTCACCCCGCAGCAGTCGGTGATGGACTCGTCTGAGGTCTCTGTACAAACAAGCAGCAGTGTTGGTATAACTAGAGAAGCAAGCAGTCGGCAACATTCATCTCTCAACGGGGTGTCTAACTTGCTGTTACTGTGTGTTTGACCTTAAATTAATTTTACACCGGAAGTATAAACTCCAAATCATACAAGAGCTGATTCATAAATATTAACCTCTCTTTTGCATACAAGACAAATGTTCAACCTGCCTTTCATGACTGTGTTAGCATTAGAACTGTTAGGATGTCGTTGGATTCAGGTTAGACATACATGGACTTTGTAAATATGTCTTTCGGCTAATATATTTGTAAGTATCTAATTAGGGACACTGTAAAATTGTAAATTTTAAAAACACAGAGTCAAAGAAAGGCGCATGAAGTTCTACATCAGTTGTTGTAAAAACAACTTGTGCTCTCCTTAATTAGCATTACATGATAATTACTGTCATAAACTCCAGTACTGCCAATTTATTTTTCAATCCGTTGGTGTATTTTGAGTGCTGGCTACTTTAAACCGGCCTTGATACTCCAAATTTTAGAGATAATTGAACGAATTCTATAAACAGACAGCTCAGACCAGCTTCATCCGAATACTGACAATGACCGGGGTGATTAATTAATAAAATGATAGAAAAACAGACCTTGAAACTGCTATTTAACAATGTTTTTGTTGGCTGTGGCTGGAAAACTCTACTAAATTCATTTCCTTACCAAGGAGGGTCTTCTTTTTACAAGATAATAAACTCCCATGCTCTGTGCAGCTTGAAGTGGCTGTCTGAATAGGGAAGCGAGCATTTCTGAAGGACAGTGCATGATGAAAGGGAAGCTACTGGCCTGTGAATGAAACACACCGAGAATACAACAGGGAGGCCATTTGGAAGGGTTTCTTTGGTTTCATTATATGAAGAATAGTCTTTCCTCTTAAACCCAGGGACTTCTGGAAAAAAACAATCTATACAGTAGGTACAGCTTTCACAAGAGGTAACTGTTTTTCTGAGTGGAGGACAGTTTTTCTTGTGTTACTGAGGGACTTATAACCATCATATGTTGGTTTGGCCTTGGGATATCTCATGGGGTTGTGGTTTACTAACAGGGAAGTGTCCTTGGACTTACTGCACAAATGGAAAAGAAAAACCTTGTTGATTATAAAAGCGATAGGAAATCTTTTGCTTGAAATAGCTTCACTAATTTGCATCTGTATTTGACGAGAAATCTTACATTTAAATCTGATTTGGATTGAATATATCCAACAGTGTATTTCTCATTAAAACTCCTATTAAATTTGATGTTATTGTGGCGCCCCTGTGGACAAAGCAGTATTTCGTCAATGTTGTCACCTTGTTTTGTTAATAATGTTTGTGTAGGCATGTTTAGACATCAATATTACCTTTAGTCTATTTCTTGGCCTGCAAGAGCTTTAAAGAGTCTTTTCAAAATATCCAATTCAGCTCCAGCCTGAAAATGGTCAAACCAACAGTAGAAAGGACTAAGTCTATTACATTTTATGTCTTTGTTCATTATTTTTTGGATGTTTGGTGTATTTCCTGGACACACAACAGTTAGGAACGGTGAAGGGGATAAAAGCATTAAAACTCTTGCCTGTCCAAGTGCTGCAGATTTTTTAGGTAGTAGTAGTGCTTGGAGAACTTGACCCAGTTTCTTACTGATCTTGTTGTTATTCTGTTTTCGACAAGTTGTGGATAAGTTGGATGTCAGACAAAAGGTAAAAAATCGGCTGTTCTCAGTAGCTTTTTAACCTCATGCTACTGAAACAACCTCCCTGCACTTTTTCATGGCAGAGATTTCTGCAGCTTTGTGTTAAACAGTGTGAGATTTTGTTCAAGGAAAGCCCTCTTACAAATGCACACGTGAACTCCTCACAGGAGCTCCAAGATAAACACAGAAGAGAGCAGAAAGATGCAAAACAGTACCTCATATACATATTCTTCTGTCCTCTCCACCTCCGCAGGGGTGTTGGAAAGATACTCCGGACATTCATAATACTCATGCTCCATGGTGTGTATGGAGTGACAGCTAGAGAGACAAAATAAACAGTGTTGTTAAAGATAATTCTTACACACACTTTCATGCAGACAACCTAATGTCTCGATTTCATCTATCATTTATTTAAGGCAACACAGTTTTGAAAAGCTTTGGCACTCTGAGGATGTTTAGTTCAAGGACTTTGAGAAAATCTGAAGAAAAGATAAAAATGATCTTTATCATTCATCATAGCAAACCCTTCAAAATGGTTCGCTCGTCTTCAGGGTTTTAAATGGCTCTTTGCCACTAAAGTCTGAACAAGTATCACAGACAACAGCCATCCGTCTAATTTGAGCCATGACCTCTGTGGATTGTCATCATGATAACAGCCTCGCCATGATCATTGACCAAGACCGGCAGATTTGTAGCTTTATAGGACAAATTGATTTCATCAGTTCCTGAGCAAAGCCCTATAAATTGGCAGAGAATGAAGGGAGCGCCAGAATGCCCGCTCTATCAGCCCATTGGCTTTTAATCGCCCAGCAAAAGCTCCCATTAAAGAAAATGGATGTAGCACACAAAAGCAATTATTGCAAGCAGGTTTGGTTCTGCATAATGATATCGCAGGATCAAAGAGCTCAGCTATGCTGGGGGTGTCCACGCTGATAAAACTGCTTTATAAATACTTTGAAAGGAAATAATGGAAAAACCTCAGGAAGCTTTACGTTTAATTGGATTGGACAAAACTATTGTCTTAAGAATATGAGATAATAATGTTTGCTCTTTTTCTGCATTGGCTACAACTCCACATTTAATGATGCCCTCACCTGTCGGACAGAAGGAAGGGACAGATATCAGGGACAGGTGGAGTCGCGGGCCGAAGCTTGGCCAGCGCCATGATGTGCTCGAAGGTGATGTCTGTCTGCGTGCAAACATCCACCACGCACACATCCTCTGCCGCTCCGCTGTGGTTGTGTGCGACAGCAGCTGCAGCTCTGGTCGGTGTCCGCCGTAGGACCTGGACAACAATAGGGTCTCGCCTGATGGCCTCGACCACTGCTTCATCGTGGTCGCCCTTGGAGAAGTCTCTTGCATTTACCTGGAAGAAAAAGAGACTGGATCACTATGTCATCTTTATCTAAAAATATTGAAAGAAAATGCAAACCACCCCATCAATGGTAAAATATACTGCAGATAGAAAATGAAAGGAGACCTTGCACACTTATTAAACACTCAATTCTGTTTTTTTAACCCTCATTTACCCAAGGACAATTCAGCAAACGTGCATGCTCTTTTCAGCAACAAACTGTTTCACATTCACACCTGAGAGACTTGCAATACCGAACACATCTCCACAGTAATGCACAGAGCAGTTTCTGCCAAAGCAACAGAAGTTAAGTGCTTTTTTAAAGGGCACTTTGGCGGTAACTCTTGACGGAGTGCATTACATATTCTCCCTTTGTTTTCACCTACACAGTACACTTTCCCAGACACTTTTACTGCTGACCAGCTTTTCACAAATGCGCTTCTTTAACCTTAAGGCTTGTGCAGAATTCACAGAGGGTGAGTAATGTGCTGGATAGCTGAAGGAGGAAAAAAACTACTTGATAAGCACATTTTATCTCATTCTGTTTACACCAACATTCAAATCAGTCTTACTTTAAATGCATTATTTACATCGCAGCCTTCACCATTATGCCCATTAGCCTTTAGATTACAAAAAATACGTTTACTGGCAAATGGCAGAGGAGGGAGTAGCAGTATGGGATGCTCCGCTGGGAGAAACATTTCTCGCAAGTAGAACCTGCTTAATTTGGAGGATAGGAAAAGGTTAAACCTCAAGGGAGTCAAAGAAGAAGAGACATCATACTGACAGCTGTCGGTGTGGAAACCCACACGGCTGCAGTGCAGACTTACTCTCTAACACAAAGTCAGTTTAACCCCAGTATGCTCACTTCTCTCTTCAGCTTGACACATCCAGAAATAATCACTGGCATTGACTTTTGGATGCCTGGACATGTCAGTATGCGGATCTGCGGACGCATATGCTGAATGTCAACATCATTATTGAGAGAACAACTTTGAAACATAATGAGGAAACACACTTTTTTCACACTTCTTGTTTCAGTGGTTGATCAGACATTCAAACAATAACCATTCCTTTTTTTTGCGAGTTTTAATGAGTTATAAAAGTGTTGTAAATACCCCGCGCCCATCTGCAGCTAACTAACCCACGGCTGCGTTAAACCCATGACCTTTATCATCTTGACAGTTTTCAGTGCGACATAAAAATTGTCCTCCAAACACATTAACTTTATTTTGCCATCCTGCTTTAACCTTTGTGCACGTCAGAGAAAGCAAACACAAAGTTCTACAACATTTTGAAGTTGTAATGAGGTCCAGATGGACACATTAATCCTCAATCAGAGGGATTGCTCTCCGAGGTGGGGAGTGATTGCGCCGTTACACCTGCCAGTATGTTTACCTGCTGTTGTTCCTCTATTCAATCTGCCTGTTGATGAGCTAACTGGGGGCTGATTAATAGCTAGCAGATGTGACAAAGACTGTGGATAATGGCTCAGAACGAGCAGGTTTTGTGTATGTGTGTGTGTGAGTGTGTTTAGTACATCATATACACTGACTTAACAAAGCATTATGGGATAATTGAACCACAAATGAGTAGATAAAGAGGAGCAGACAAGTTGGAGAAGGGGTTTAAAGCTTTTAGACGACTGCGATGTGGATTAGGGAAATGTTACTAAATTAGCACATTCATCCTAACTACCTACTTTGTGTTGCATTTCCTTATTTTAACATGTTAAATCTGTGCTGAAATTTCAGTAGGAGTGCAATCCATCATGTTTTTCCATTTTTGATTCATGGAAACACTGTAATTTTCTGTGCTGTTCCCTAATGTTGTTTTCGCTTGCTCTTGCAAAGACTCATCCACCAGTGGGATTTGTATTTACCTGAAGCACGCCTACCTTCTGACTGTTTATATGTGTGTAAATGCATGGCAGCAATACGTTCAGGTGTGACACCTTGACTTGGACATAGGTGAGTGGATTCTGTCGATCTCAAGCAGTAATTCCATTTTGATTACAAGTTCCTTTTCTTATTACTCCTTCGTGCTCCTGTGACCAAGCTGCCAGGGACAATATCAGCTCATTACATCATCTGATATAACCCTGAAAGCTCCACGAGAACACTAAAAAAAGTCGGCACTTCCCTGCACTCCATAGGGATGGCTGTAATGAACCAACACTCCAGAGCAGCCTTCATATACCTCTCAAGTTAAAGGTTATCTTTGCCAATAAAAATGGTTCCCAGTAGTCCCACACCAAAGCTTCCTGTCTGTCCAAACAGTCTCCCTAAAGGTCAAGGTTCAAAGAGGTGTCTATAGTAAGGAGGGATACAAGATATCGTTGCTTATATGTGCCATTATGTTTCCATTTTGTGTGTTCAGTGAGTGCACAGTGACATTATCGCTCAACGGCCACACTGAAAATGACATTTTCTTCTTATCAGGTCAGAAATCCCTTTTCTCAGCAACTTGTTCCCTCATCCTCCAGGATTACTAAGTGTTCCCAGGCTGGGCAGACTCATTCCAGCTCTGGATCTTCCTGGTGTCTTCTCCTGGTTGGACATGTTCATGCGCCCAGGACTTAGTTCCTGTACCACCTCAACAGGCATCTTTCACTGCGATGGAGTTGCAGTTCTACACTGAGCTTCCACCGAATGTCTAAGCTTCTTCATCACATCTCCGAGGCTGAGCCCAGCCACCCTTTGGAGGAAACTCCTTTTAGCTCTGCTCTCCTTTCGATCTCATTCCTCTGGTGACTGCCCGAAGCTCATGACCACAGGTGAGGGGTTAGAACATGGATCAACTGCTGAATCAATAGCCTTTCCCTCAGTCTCAGCTCCCTTTTCACCACAACACTCTGGTACAATGCTGGCAACGCTGCTAATGCTGCATCTTCTTTTCAACCTCACAGTCTGTCAAAAAAGACCCCAGATACTTGTCCTCCTGGTAAAGATCACCCCTTGCTTGGGGCTGCAATCCTTTATTTTCCATCAGAGGCCCATGGCTGTTAGTGTAGAGATGTTACGCTAATGCTATCCACTTCATATCTGGCTGCAAACCAACCCAACGCCTGAAGGAGTTCATAGTCAATCAGCATGATCTACTTTCCGAGACAGCCAAAATGGAGACCCCTCTTCTCCTGGCGGCACCTTAAGATCCTTTCCATTTAATTACTCCAAGTTACAAAGCGTACCCCCCTATCCTCATCCCCCAGAGTCCAACATACACTGGAAACTGTACTGATATTGGTTTTCTGTTTGACTTTAATCAACAACAGATCATCAGCCTTGCTCATGGCAGAACTACTTGTGGCTTAAACGTATCATTAATATTTTCATAATTGTGGACCTGAAATGCCCATCATATGTTGTATCTAATCCATGGTGCAGCAACACACCACTTTGCCCACTCTTCATCACAGCTGATGGCCACTTTCTTAGTGTTATAATGCTGTTCTGCTTTGCTATCCAGATGATGACAAGCGCAGTTGGCGGATAGTATCTTGTAGCTGTAGGAAGGACATTAGATCTGCTGATGTAATCCACACTCAGCAAACCAATTTGTCAACACAGACTTTGTGATCTTGTTTTTGGTGGTGTCAAATTTCTGATTTAAAGACTGACTTTTTACTCCCCTTGTAACATATAAAATGTTAAAGTATCACAAGGGGGGCAAATACAGTATCCACAAAAAGGAGATTAATGCTGCGTTCAGAAGTCAGATGTTGGAGCTGAAAATGACGTCACACCTGAGTTCCCAGCGTTTCAGTTACCAAGTTGGAAAAAAGCAAAATTGGGCGTGGAAACAAGATAGCTACATCTACGAAAGTAACTTTAGCACTTGCCTTGTCCGAATACAAGGCAAGTGCTAAAATAACTTTCGTAGATGTAGCCATTTTTTTTTAGGCCTCCGATTTTGTTAACTCAAACGCAGCATCATTATTACATGGAATTTTTCTGGACTCAAAACCTTTGGTCGTAGTTGCCTCTAATAATTCGGCTAGTTCTTACTCGCTAGTTCCCCTACAGCTGAAGAGTCATCTTTAGTGGTCTGAGTGAAACAATAGGCCACAACTTAGTGCACTTGGCCTTTGTAGCTCAAAACAGTGTGACACACAACCTTACGTCAAAACCATTTCTCCTTTAGTAGAGGTTTCAGTGAGCTTCAATATTCAACTTCCTGACACATCTACTCACCAGTTTTAAGGTCATGCATATTAAGCAGCAAGTCTCAGCTACCAGCTAATAATGTAACATTTTGCTGCCTGTGATGCACCAATTACACACATGATTGACTATGAGGGGGTTACCAGCAGACCGTGCTGCGGAAATGGCTATTACATGTGTCGAGATGGGGTTGAAAGTAGCACAGTGAAAGCCAATCGGTGTCAGGCCCTAAGGCTTCCAATATGCTCAAATACGAGGGCACATGTCAACCTTTAAATGTGTCAGCGGATGTAATCAGCTGGCCACTAAGAAGGCTAAATGTTGTTTCCACTTTTGAATACAAACAGGAGCGATAAGGGAGGCCCAGAGATAAGAGTTTGTTTGTGTGTGTGTACATGTGAATGGATGTGTTTGCTGGCAAGAGATAAGAGCATGATGGAAACCACTCAACCCCACAGCTAAATCTGACAGATATGGTGTCATTGTGAGGAAATGGAAGCAGACACACACACAAGCCTCATACGCTCTCATCTTAAGCTTTACATCAGTTCCCCAGAGACTTAAAACAGCTCTACAATGCCGCTGTTTGCATCAGCTGAATAACAGCAATATTTCAGACTGAATAGGCCAACAATGGACCAGGAAACAATAAGCTGCCGCAGAGAGACCCCCTATTCAAAGCGACCTCGTCTGCCCCTAAGGAAACAAAGCACTTGAAACCACAAGCAAACCTTCTCCTGTGATCCTCCAGATCATGATTTTTGTGAACTCAGCTCAATACAAGTGAAATTATTTTTTATTCATTGGAAGTGACGCACTGTGAATAGTGAGGAAGCGCAGGTGTGTGCTTCGATGATCTGCCAAATCTCATTTCTCTTCCCTGTATTCAGATGGTTCAAGAGTCTGCTCTCATATGACAATGGCTCAGAGTCATAAATGTCTCATTTCAATAATAAAAGTCTCCGACATGCAATATCACCTCCTGCTGTGGAAGAAAAAGAAGCTGATGGTTTCATAAATTTGAGCGGCAGGTTGCACAACTAGTTGACCCAGCTCGGTCACCTGAATCAAACTGACCCTTGACCTGTGCCGGATGAGAAAACCATAGTGTTGTTGATGCATTTGTGACAAGCTTCCCTAGACAAGCTAGCAATAGAGAAAGGAAGAGATGAGACAATAAGCCATTTTTCCCCTTAATTAGGGCTGGGCGACATGGGAAAAAGTTTATCACAATATATTTTTTTCATATCAGTCAATATCGATATACTGTATGTCACGAGATAAAAAATGAAATGTAAGAGTGTTTATTGGTCACATGTCTTTTGCAATACAATGAGCGACTGCATCTGTGAGGTCTTTGTGTCTCTTCAACGTTTTGTTGTAAGGCGTAACGCTAGAGAAATAGGAATGTCGGCTGTTTTAGCTGCACAGGCGCCATGAGCTCCTTGCTCCGCTCAGGGTTTGTAACCTTCTGCATTACACGTGCTCTGCCGCGTGGCACTGCTTCAAGTGGTGAAAAAGATTTGCGGTACTACCGACTTTGCGAGAACATGTACTCAACATTATTTGCAGTGCACATTACTCTGCTTCATGTCTGACACCAAAAAACCAAAATACCTCCACACCATCAACGTTTTCGTGCCAGTGTCGTTGACGATGTCATCATCTGTTGAGTCTTCATCTGCATTTCTGACAGGAGTAGCACTCATTTTCTTTTTTTCTCACTAAGAGTGTTGTCAGCTTCACGTTTTAAAGTGCTATTCTTGTGTGTAGTTGCAGTCTGCTACTACGCAGTTGTTTGCTACTTGGTTCTAATTCAGCACGATTGGTTCAGCGCAGCGTGGACCTGCAGCAACTCCCCCTTTTCACTGGCTATTCGTATAGTCGACCAAAACGTGGCAGAATGCTGACTATTGAAAAGCATATTGACCATGTTTTGTATTGATATTGAGGGAAATTAATTTTCAATACATATTGTTATCGTTTTATCGCCCTGCCCTACCCTCAATTAAACTGTGTTTTCCACAATGTTGTTCATTTTAATAAAATAGGTTCTTAAGGATTTGTAAATACAGTCAAAAAGGGACCAAAGGCAAAATAAAGAAGTTAGTTTTCTTGTCAAGTTTCTGGTAAAAATGAGCTGATCCGTGGCATTGATTACTACGTTTAGCAAGTTTCCAAATGTTTATCTTGTAATATAAATCTATTTGTGAGCTTTAGGATGCCTTGATTTTCTTGAATCTTCTCAAAAAGATGCATCTTTTATCTCACAAACCAAGCCTCCTTGTTTCTGTCTTACTCAACTTGACACTTTAATGTTACTGGTTATACTTTAAAATAAAATGCAAGCGAGCTCTGGGTTCAGCTTTCACTCTCTGTACAACACCTGCTGTTTCAAGGACGACAGAAAATAGATGTGACTGAGAGGGACTCAGATATATAATTCAGTATAATTACAGCCAATTTCAGGCTGAGTGTAATAACTCTGAAGTAAATGACTGCTGTTATCCTGTGATATGATACATTTTAACATATATTTAGCTTGGGAGATTTTAATGAGCATTTGAACCCAATTTTAGAAGCATCTTTATTCGTTCTGTGCTGTTCGAGCAACAAAAGTCTTTAAGTGTTGGCCACTGACCAACTTTGCTGTAGCAGCTGCAGGTACAGATGAGGATAACAGTTTGGAAGAGCAGCATGTCTCAGTGTTTCAGCGATACAACCTTATGATTTAGGCAAGTGTAACACAGAGAAAGGAGAAACTTCAGGGAGAGGACCATTATACTGAGCCATTATTTCAATTTGCTGTAAACTATCTTGAATGTCATGCTCATTACAACCATTTGGGGGTAGCCAAATGCTAAGTTTGAGCCCCAGGTATCTCACCATTGCCAATTTACTCGGGTTTTGAGAAGAAAACCCCTGACTCAACTTGAAAAGTGCAAAGAAAGTTAGACACACTCCAACTCTGTTTTGCATTATTAGCTTGGCTTCTTCTAAAGCAGCGACCGCTCCCCATGCATCGTAAGGCTCTGGTATTTTACATTTCTGTATCGCACCAATTAATCAAAGTGACAAGGTATTTAATGAGAGGCAATTAGAGTGTTAACCAAAATGCAAATCAGATGGAGAGAGAGTGCAGGAGGGGGGTGCAAGAGATGTGAACTCCTGTTGGTAGTAGTGTTGGCAAGCTTCGGGTTTGCGTGTGTGTGTCTCTGTGGAAAGCTATGGCAACGGGTTCAAGGAGATTTCACTCAGTGCTCATCTCAGGACCTTAATTCACCAAATAGAGATCGACACTGCTGGTATTTATGAGCTCTTCTGCACACATGATTGCATCTTTGTTGACATCTGTGTACAAGTTGTTAGGAGTGTCCTTCACATTTTTTTTCAGAGACACGGGTTCCTGCACAACAGGCAAAAACAACCAATTAGTTCTGCATGGAGGAAGACCACATGACAACATGAAACATGGATTTAATGGCTGCTGTCGAGGAGGATGCTAACCAGCTCACACAGGTTAATCCCTCCTACATCACACGGTATCTGTGCGCGAGTAGATTAGACTGTGTTTTCTCCTGGAATCTCTCTTCACAGGGCTGGCAATGTTTTAGCCTTTAGATGTTTACTTCAGACGGAGCGTTTTATAGTTAAAAAATGCATGAACTTTTAGCAGAAGAGCTGCATGCTTCAAAGCAGCAGCAGAGAACAGTGCTTCAACACGTCCCTGTTCAGTGCTAAAAGTAACAGGCTGGCGTACCGTCCTTCAACTTGTTATCCTGCATCCTAACCCCTTGTCGGCTTCTGCACCGCTCGAGTGTCCTCCAGCAAAATTGACTTTGCAGCTACAGCTGATCATACGCTGTCAAATCCCCTATGAAGAGCTAAAGTAAAAGGTTATATCCAGATTTACAGTTTTTCATTACTGCACCAGTGATCCAGTGGAAAAGGACAGTCTCCCTACGCCCCGTCTTTTGAAAATAGTCAAAGGATCAATGTTGACAGCTTTCTCATTTTTAATGCTTTTCTTACACTCCATAGAAGGAAAGCATAGGTGGTGTATTTTTCCTTTTCTTTGAAGGTGCTTTTCTTCTTTTTACTCCATCATTGTCACTTTCACTCAGATTCATTATGTGAAAAGACTATATTTCCAAAGTGCTTTAAAAACAGACGCTTTTTCCTTTCCTGTTTTACCTATCTCTTCTTTGTTTTCATCTCAAGGGTTTTCCATCCCTCGCTCTTAACATTCCCCATCCCCGGCATACCGACACCAGCGGAAGAGACACTCACGCACACATCAGAGTCTGTTGACTTGTGACTGTCATCCCAAGCAGCCATTTCTGATGTAAGTGGAGTGAAATCAAAGGTTATCATATGCCAGTGAACGCATTAAGACCCATCTCATTTCCTGCTCTTTGTGGCACTTCCATATGCAGGGTGGGCTTCCTTTCAATTAGGCTTCATGAATACAGATACTTCCAAGTGTCAGAAGCTCGGAAAAGCAACATGATTTGTCTTGTTTTTGTGGGTTTGGAATTACACTTTCATTTATTGAATTTTTTTTGTTTATTTTTTTTCCGCTTCTTGATTGTGCAGCAACTTCAAAACAATGGAGGACAAAAAGATGGAGAAATAAATCTGGCTGTGTTTTTGATTAGCTTTGAGAAAACAGCTTATTTAGCACAACAGTACTTTCCAGTTTAATGTTTTACATTAGCTAATCTAAATTGGGATCCCACTTTGGATTATTGGCTCATTTCTCTCCAGTTTTTCATTGTTAATGGTGTTGGTTTCAAATAACCCAGGAAGCGCTGAAATGATAATGGTTTGTCGGATACACCACATTTACAAAACAACCGGGAGTAAATCAGCAGGACATGCTGTAATGACAGTATTTCATCTTCACAACCTGGTAACCAGAGGAAAAAAATCAGATGAGAGGATGAAAATCCAGATGGTGAGAGTCAAGAGGTTTGCTTCACACTGACTATTTTTATCCACAGTCTAACTCCACATACTGTACCTTGGCAGCTTTCTTCGGTTTCTTTCATAAAATGACGAACACCGCCTGCCTGGTGGGCTCATGCATCATGGCAGGGCCAGCGTGGCTGTGTTTAACTAATAGGTTATGTGTCCTCAAGCAGCCATGTTTGGCTCAGGTTATGACAAACTGCATCAACAAGACATTCGTTACCCTCAACATCCTAGCAACCAAATCACAATTACTGCAGATCCACGAGTGAGCATCCAGCCCCGCTGACAGGCTCTTATTCCTCGCACAACACGTCGCCAATGCATAAATTAGCCTTCTTTTGTCACATTGGGGGGTTGGCGGGTTGAAAATTAGCGTGGTTTGTTTTGATGAGACAGGGTGCACTGGAGGCGAATGACTACAAAACTTCTTACTGACGAATCAATTGCAGTCACTTTCATTTCCACTCTGCATGCCATAGTACTTATGAATGTTGTTTGTGTGTCTGGGGATTCACAGAGGGTGTTTGTGTGTACATCTTTTACGCATGTTTGCCTATGTGTGTGTGTGCATTCATGCGGATACTCGTCTTGACTGACTAATGTACTTGGCCTAAGCTACAACGGGACTCTATTGTTGCGCTGTGTCCTCCCTGCAGTCATTAGATCGCCATTAATCTTTCATCTGCCACTAAAACAACAGCCAGTGAGCTGGGCTGAACAATACAGCCGGCCCCTTCCTCTAGCCCCCTGACACATACTAGCAATGAGTTTGAATTAGGCTCTTGGGGGTCACCGATTAGACCCACATAATTCATCCAGACGGTAGAGTTCACAAAGAGGTTATGTTTTACTCCTTTATATGGGAAAACTACACCTCATGCTCTCCTTCCAAGCATACCCTCTTGTCTTGTCTACTGTTTAACTCAAATAACAAAGTTTGGGATACGCTGCATTTTTAAAACCATCTAGAAATACCATCTGCAATCAAAAACCAACAACAATAGGATCCAAGTAACAAGTGCAGTATTCCTGGTGTAATTTTGTGCCAGAGATCTCCATTTAGAGGAGGACTGAAAATGAGTTCCTCCAGTGTTCACTTGAGTCTGCCCAGGAGGCCTCTCTGCTAAAATGCTCAAGTTTAAAGCAGAAATGAACATTGGACCAGATAGTCATTTCTGCATCCATACACACAGTAAACAGGGCTGAATTTGGGAAAATCTTATTTGGAAGATATCACAGAAACATTTAATTGTATAATTTAAAAAAGGTTATAATCTGGGCAAAGTATTGGTGAAGTGCCGTGAGAGCCCTGGGCTGTAAATGGGTTTATTTTGTTCTAAAAACAGGCTTATTTGGCTCTAAGTTAGCCCCAAGCTAGGATTTGGGGAACTGTGTTTTTTAGCACCTCTACGTCAGCTTCACTTCTCAAGACCGTAGGCTGCTGCTTGGACATGACCAGGGGACTGGCTTGACTGGCAGGTGTTTGTTAGGAACCTAAGGGCCGGTCTCAACCTCATTTCTTTGACTTTTACTTGATCAACTGAAAGTTCAGTCAGCGTCTCCAATATGGCGACCACCCTTATCAAAAGCCTCTTTAGAAACCATTGGTGAGGCCTCTGAGAGTACGCCAAGCCTGCATCCAATCCCACATAAAAAACTGTCTACTTCTATAAATTCGCTGGATTAACAAGCATGTATCCATCTGAGTAAGGATACTAACAGATGAAAAAGTTGTCTGCAGAATAAATGTGGATTGAATACACGTGTAGAAAAGTAGGAAAGCTTGATTATGATTGAACAATTTTTCTAACATTCATCACAATGCAACAAAAAACATCCCAAAGTACATCCTGTTTTATTCAAATTAAATAAAGACTGGAAAATAGAGACCAAATATTTCAAAACCGGACCAAAAAAAGTGTTAATCCACGGTTATTTCACAATAAATCACTGGCATGATTTAACTGTTAATTCCAGGAAAAAGGTGCACGCTTATTTTATGCAGTCTGTCCATGGACCATTTTTATTTACATGAGCACAGATTTGGTTAAAGGCAAAAAGACCCGACTCCAGATTCAGGGGCATAATTAGCAAAGCTCGCTAAAGCTTGTAAAGTGAAAACATTTTACTGAAGAGCCGTAAAATAAAAGATTCATGTGCTGCTTTTTGCATAAAATTAAGTTCTCTACAAGAAGCCTAGAGTGTGAACTTGAGGTTTTTTTCCCCCTCCACCCACCAAATCTTTGCCTTTTTTTCTAATTTTTAAGTGATGCATGTTTGTGCTCACTGGAAGCACCTAACCCATTAGCATTATTCATAAAGTGAAGCTTCCTTGGTCGCCCTTTGGTGGAGAAGAAAAACGACTTCACACCCCGCTAACTGTGAGCGGGAGAGAGGAGCTCTTCCTGCGATGAAAAATACCTCCATTCCAAAAGTGCGGTTGGTTAGTTAAGTGAGAGATACACGATGGTGCAATTTACCCCTCATTCAACCCGCCTTAATCAAGACTTGGCCTGCATGCACAGTTACAGGAAGCTGAGAGCAAGCCTACAAAATGACTGAGTGAATGGCTAATCATACCCACCATAGAGGTATTATCAGTCAGATGCTTGTTTGTAACTGCTTATTTTAGGGTAATTTCAGACAGTCTCACAGATTGACTCTTTAAATCAAACATTTGTTTCTCCAAATGGGTCACATGCCTAATTTTGTTCAAGTCCCAACAGAATGAGACGCTGAAGCCTTTTTTGTAATGGTGATGACTGACGAATGTTGTATGATCTGGAGAAGACATGACCGATTCCTAACCTTTTCTGTCTTTTAAGAGAAATGATCAATTTTTTTTTTACCCGCCTCTGTCAAATTCTGTATTCTGGTATCACTGCCTGTTGACACTGTGGAAAAAAATGATGTTTTTGTCCGAGGGTTTGGAATTAACAACAGTAAGCCTGAGGAGCAACACATCTTTGACTGTCTCCCCACACCAAGCACGAGTAATGAAAAGAATAGATATGTCATAAGTATTTTTGTTGTCGTCATGAGCACCTTGTCTGAGCAGAAAATTTGAGTTTAAAATAAATTTAAACAAATACGATGGTTAATGTTTCAGCTACGAGCATGGATTAAAAGGGGCTAAGAGAATATGTCGCCACAGAAAAGTTACTCAGAACCAAAGGAAGTTTGAACTATTTTGAACGTTTGCAGTGGAAAATGTAACAAAGGCTGTTCCTTCAGATTAAATCCCCTTACAGCACAAACAGGAATTAAAAACACAATGTAGAAAATGCTAATCTTGCAGTTTATGGTCTTTTGTTTCTGTACATCATTGAGAAACGTCACTGTTCACCAATCAAAAACTCCTCACAGTTACTTTAAATTACCTCTAATTCAATACTAACTTGGTAGTGAACAAGATAATGTATTGTGAATGGATGCTTCTAGAAAGACAAGACCCCGAAGCAAAGCCCTGTCGGGGTTTTCATTTGCATGATCACCAGTTCACTCTACACAATCCTGTTCCTACCAAAATGCAGACTGCACCATTTTTTTTGCATCTGATCACATGCAGATTATGTTTTATTATTTTAGAATGGAAGTTACTCCCTTGAACGCTGAGTTTTATTGGACCATTATATGAAGACAGAAATGTGTCACTATGGGAAAAAGTAAAACCTCGGGAGCACTTTACATTAAAATACCTGTCATGGATTTATTGAGGCTGTTCTGGGTTTCTAAAGCAATAAGAGTGGTATTGCTTTTGCACAGAAAAGCTCAGGGGCAAAGTCATTGTGGATAGTTGTTCCAGCAAACTGAGAAACTTTGAGTGGCTTTGAGTACAGCCAGTGGCATTTTCTCTTTGTAAAGGCGACACTCTTTCACGCTCCCCTCCAATCTTTGGAAACAGCCCCTGACAAAACAAACTTAATTCAACTTCTACTTGCCGACTTATTCTGGAGCAAAGTCAAGACTAAACTGTTGTGTTAAACTTTTGATCGTGCCTGAATAAAAAGCTGTAAAAGTTCCAAATCCAAACTTCTACCACCGTCTGATTAAGACAAATGGTATATTGTACGAGCTGCTGACAAACAGCAGCAGTGTTAAGCCGTTCTTTGAGGTTTCTTCTTTCTTTGAACACCCATGTGTCTGGAGGCTATGCGCTCCAACAGTTCTTTTGACGTGCTCTGCAGTTTTGGGAAAAACACCAAACCCACCAATAGACTGGAGCTGGAATCCAACCGCAAGAGCAGCAAGAAACAGATTGACTATTTTGTTGGTAGTTCATAAAAAGAAGTCAGTGCTTTTCCTCTGCTTGACAAGACTGTGATCTCTCCAAATCTACAAAGATAATTCCAACGTGTCCAAAGCCTGACAAGATTTACCACAACTGCTCCTCTGATAAGACAATCTAGTAGATTTCTACGCCCTTGCAGCAACAACAACAACAAAGACCCAGCCGCTGTGCCTCCATCCTCAGGGCCTTTCCCACGTCAACACGAGGCTTATGGTTACACCCTGCACGAAATGTAATAACCCCCCCTGCTATGCAGATGGTTTAGTGTTATTCTATCTGTAAGTGGACTCAGTGCCAGGCTCTGATGGGCCTAATGACTCCAAACCCAGGTTGGTTAAGTTGGAATAGGACACCAGCGTCGTGTGGAAACCTAATCTCCCCTTATACCACCTGGACCTGGGATACTCTAGGGTTGGAAACAACCTTGGCATTGGAGGTACAACACCCTTTTCAATCTTCTTGGTCATAAAACAATATCTGTAGCATTACAAAAAACAAGCGGTTGGTATCAAGGCGACTGCTCATAAAAAAAAGTCCTAAAAATGATGATACAGGATGGCAGAATTCTGGGTAAAGAGGAAAAAAGTGTGGAAAAAATGTGGAGGTTTACTTTTAATAGTTTCACTGACATTTGGTCTCGAATGAGAATTGCACCTTTGCTGCCAGGGATTTCTTCCAAAAGATGCCACTGAGAGAATTTTTATGCTAATTTTAGGGATTTCATGTGTTAAAGTTGTGTCAGGAGCATTTTCCTCTGCATTTTCAAAATATCCAGAGGGGCTTTTTCCAGTGTCTGTGTGCACTTTTGCAGCAGCATGTAGCAACAAATGCCTGCAACAGATCCATAACTGCTCCAGATGGTTTGATCTAACATCTGTCTAACCTGATGAAACAAAGCCTGCAGCGTGAGGCCATAAGGGGTATTATTGGGTTATTCTGGCACAAGGCTGCCTTCAAACCGTATTACAGTCTCAGGCTGACAGCACACACACTGAGACCAGACAAAATTAGTGTCTCTATCCGACACATGAATGACAGAAAGTGTCTGTATTTTTCTTTGCAGGGTTTCTCCAGCACACTGAGGAGGCCTGTGGCACCTCAGAGGGCTGGGTCACGCAAAAGCGCTTTAATGAGTCGGATAGAGAGACAGCGACAAACAGGAGAGAGAGACGGACAGGAGCAGTGGAGTGGAGCAGGATGGAAAGAGTGTCTGGTGGCTGATATGTGATGGAGAAGGAGGAGGGCGAGACTTTGTGTTTTGGAAAGAGGGGAGGTGAAATCAGGAAAATAGGGGGATTTAGAAGGACTTATCGACTCCAAACGTCTCGTCTTCTCGCTCCGGTGCCCTCCCTTCACGCTTTCCTACTGTACTATCTCCCCTTTTTTCCCTTTCACTACCTCTATCATCTTCACCAGGCCACTTGGCCGATTGGCGAGTATGGTAATCAGCTAAAGGCTGATAACAACTGATAAGTCCTCTGTGCCAAGAGCCTGAATGACATTTTTACGCTGTCATAAAACAGGAAAACACGCCATAAAGCTGATGAATGGACAGACCTTGTGTGAATGCACACAGTATGTGCAAATAGGCATCTCCTAACAGTGCCGTGTAGTTGTGTGTAGATGCTTCCTTTGCCTTGTCTGCAAAGGAGGCAGGAGGAGGAGGAGGGGGGCGAGGAGTGTCACTCTGCCCACAGAAAGGGCTTTCATCCTGGGCTTATCAGAGCCAACGCAGGGGGAGATCGTTGGCCGGTGAAGCGAAACGGCGACTGTTGCTGTCCCCCCTCCTCCATACCGGGACCGGTCTTCCCCCTGACTTTGTGATCCCCCTCAACACACACACAGAAAATGGTGTGTGCGACCTCTCACAGACATAAAGAAGAAGGACCTAGCCAATGTACAGCAGATTTAAAAACGCCTCATGGATGTATTTTATTTCATTTATTCCCACACTCAATGCCAATGATACGTCTACGACAACTAGAGGAAGCTGTATTAACCTGATGCTGAAGAATATCCCATTTCCTTTTTCCACCTTTGGCGGGCAACCAGAAGACGTGCAACCCGTTGTGCTGTCAATGAGGCCATATGCACCTCTAAATCATGCAGCATTATCACCATACTGCGCTGCAACGAGCGACTATAACCATGATGGAGGACACCAGATGATCTGTGCAGAGAACATTTCCATAATGCTAAATTAACACTTTTAGGGGGGTGAAACTGCTTATTATTTTGCACCTTACAGCCACCATAAACTTCTTTTTTTTACAGTGTTGTCTTTTTTTTTTTTTCTACCCAAGTGTGTCCGTCTGTGTGTGAGGTAGAGAGACTTGTCAAGTGGAATTACACTCACAGGTGAAAAGGTCAAACCACATGACCCATACTGACAAGAAGACAACTAGTAAGGCCAAAAAAAATGCACGGAAAAATGCAAAGGTCACTCGAGTCGATATTTTCTGAAAAAGCTCAAAATCCCACCAGAGGGGCAGAGATGGACAGAGAGGAGAGATAGACGAGGCATTCAGAACCAGAGCTGTGCTCATAGATCAGGTGATAACAGCGATATTATGCTGTAGCTGCAAAATAACTTCAGCTCCAGCTCCACTTTTTGGCTTTGCTACCTCTCTGCTGGTTGATAAAATGGCTGATTTAACTGATAGCACTGCCGACATATTTCATTTCCCTGTCTGGACAAAGAAGTGGTCCAGGTCTGAAGAGGCCATATGGAGGTGACGGCTGTGTGGGTCTGACCACAGCTTCCTCTGCTCTGCGTGGCCCTCTGTGGACTCCATAGGTGGCGGCGGGGTAAAGGGGTATCTGTCTCGCCCCCTCCATGCTGTCTAACAGGCTGGACATGTGGCACAGCATCTGTCTCTGGAGAACAGACTCACACTGAAGGTTGACCTCGGTAACATCGAATTATAAAAACGTTTTAAATTTGAGTTTTGTTTACTGCAGATTAGTGCATGTTTATAATGTACGTCCGAGTGATCATATGGAGTGGCGAATCGGCCGCTTTAAAAATCAACACACTCGCATAGTAAGCTATACCTGAGGAAACATTTGGGGGTTCCGTACTGCGCCTTTCAAATCGCATCTCATGATTATACACCTGGAAAAACCACTGAACTGCTCCGCTCTCTGTTCTACTAAGAATTAACTGAAAATGGGTTACATACAGAGAAGTTAGTGACTTTTACATTCTGTAGATATAAACTATTGTATTTTTGTGTCGGACAACAATGATGAATTTGGAATATACAACAGGACAAAACATGTGAGTCCAGCCAGGCGCTGGAGGCAAGAGACTGAGGAGACAATTTAACACAGCCACTAGCAAAATACATGGAATAGCAATTGCTTCAGCCAGAATGGAGCCCTGAGGTGTGAGTGTGCAGAGATACACCCACACACACACACACACACACACACACACACACACACACACACAGACACACACAAACACACAAATGAAATGTTGAATGTAAATAGTCTGACGAGAGCCATAAATCTCTCGTTGGCCACTGGGAAGCTGAGGTCGGTCAGTCCTGTCAGAATAGTGCAGCTGTGTGAACAGAGATAGCCGCTGTGGAGGTGGTGGTGACGCTGAGACAGGCCTGCAGGCTGAAAACTGGAATTGGCCTCTGAAATGCTCCGTTACTTTTTCAAAATGAAAGGTGCTGAGCAGGTCGTTTCCAGACACCATATATCTATTTAAGAGAGGGGGAGGATCATTACCATCCCTCTAAAATAGCTGCAATCCATTTTATACAAGAGGCAGTGATTCATCCACAAAAGACAGACAACACAACAGTTCATCACTGTTTGAATTTTTGTTTCTATGATTCTGGTGTGGTGTGAATGTGTGAATATGACATGAAATGTAAAAGTGCTTTATCATGATTTCACCCTGACATGCACCATCAACAGCAAACTTATTTTCCTATCTTTTGTCGTACAAATGGATGGGTTTGGACACCATTCCATTGACTTTCTTTTAAAACTAAAGACGACAACATTTTTTTTTTAACATACAGGCTTTTGATGATCTTGTTAATCATCTCCCGTTTAAGACTGGATCTTGGCATCTCTGTCAAACTAGCCACTAACATGAAAATATCTGGTCACGCCACCAGCTATGCCAAGATAGTTCGCCAATATTCAGTGGGTCAAAGTTCATCTAAGTCATTGATTTGAAAGATTTGCACCAGTTCCACTTTGACCAAGTGGCAGAATCAATAGACCACATCAACTGCATTGGAAAGTGTGTTTTGTTTTGTTTTGTTTTTGCTCTAATTTTGCACCACCAAATGCCTCCATTGCTTTCATGTATTATGCCACCAGCTGACTGAGGAAATGGTCCACAGACTGGACTCGACAACAGCCTGTTATTCTTCCTCTCCTTAATTTGATCAGAGAATAAAATGCAAACTGGAGGTCATTTACTGTCAGACTTCAGCATCTCATTGGTCTAACAGGAAACCAATCTAAAGGGGGAGAATGAATATACAACCAAAGTATCAGCGACAAATGAGAACAGTTTGACCAAATCTCAAGTCCAGCGCCTTTGTGCGCCTGTTAAATCCGAGCTTAACCATCTGTATTAGCAGCCCTTGGTTTTCCACTCCTATAATGAGCAGGTGGAGTCTTATTGTGAGGCACCGTTGGAAGTAAAACACGACAAAAACACTTTCTCAATCTCTTGTCTTTTTGCCAAAGTGAAATGAGAGAGGGAGGAAGACTGAGGGACTAATGAAGGTTATATAGAGGGAAATTTTTAAAAAGGGAAGGAGATGAGATGAGTGTGGAATGATAAAAGAGGAAAGAGACAGAGGGATTGTTGAGGAGTCTCTCTGGATTTACTGAATCCCCTCAGCCACCAGTTTTGGGACAAAGTCACGCTGACACACTTACTGCCTGGTGAGCTCTCTTTCTTTCTCTCTCTCCTCCTTACTCTGTCTTTCTCGCTTTCTTTCACACCGGTAATGAGAACTGTAGGTGTTCGCTGACTGTCAGATACACACCACAGAGCATTTAACAGTAAATCTGTGTGCTCTCTCACACACACACACACACACACACACACACACACACACACACACACACACACACACACACACACACACACACACACACGTACAAATCATATTTTTGGCTGTCTGCCATGGTGGCAGGACACCTACAGTGTTATGGGGAAACGGGTGGAAAGCATGAGGTTAATTGTCTCCTGCCAAATTCTACACAGACACTATTATAAGTCCAAATGACAAAAAACAAAAACTGTAGCTGTTCTGTCGCTGATGTAAAAACTGGTTAAGAGTAAGATCCTCTTCTTTTAAAGCCAGAAAAATCATCTCAGCGAAGCACCACAACCCATTAGAAAATAATAGAAATGACCAACAGCGTGTAGAGGACAAGATAGGAAAAGACAGCTTTGTCCACAGGGGGCGCCAAATATGCCACTAACTGAAAGTTCCTCACAGGAGCTTTAATGAGCATTTTAGACTTGATACATGGGAGGAGTTAAATGGGAGATGTCCACTCATTTCATTATGAGGCAAAGAGCTGCCTGAAGGTAAATATTGTGATACCTCGATAGAATCAATCAGAGCCCTCTTTGCACTAACTAGATCAGCACAGGTTTAAACTTGTGCACATTTTTAAACAAGATTGTGTAGTTTGTGGGGAGATTTTCATATCTTTTGGCACAGACATGCCAAAGTGAGCTTATGTTAGCTGTTTCTGTCTATTATTTTCAGCCTGCTTTTTCCTTCCTGCTGTCTGCCCCTTCTTTTCTACCAAGAAAGTCTAACTTGCTGCTGACTCTTGATATTGCGAGTGGTATCAACTTTCTTGCAGAACTTTAAGTATATTATATTGTCAGTATATTCCTCAAAATGCCTTGTTATTGCATCAAGTAATGGCAGCCATCACTGTAACTCTATCAGCATTTTCACTTCCATTTGACAAGACAGTATAAGCTTGCTCATGTGGTTGACAAACTCATTCCTTTGTTCGTACCCGTTTTTTTTATCCCCCTCAATAACACGGAGAGAGTCATGACCTCCCGGAGTTTCCTTTAACTGACATGGTTAATTTTCTCACACTGCACCACAACATAGACATTCACCATCTCATTAAAGCCCAGGGACATTTGGCGTAATGAGCTCGAGCCCGCAGCACTGTGAGTAACGTTCATAAAAAGCAGTATCTAGCTGTGATGGAAGGACGAGTTAATGAACTCCTCACATTTTACAGAGCTCAGAAAAACAGGCAGTTATCGCCTCCACTTACACAATATATCTGATTTTTAAAAACTGTAATTATTTCAGGAGGAGTGAATTTACAAAAAGTGTAAATAATATACATATTTCCGGGCTCCTTCACATTTTATTAGATCTGCATGTTGTTGAACTACCATGCAAAGTATTCAACAGGACTGCCAGCTTATTATGCTGTATCAAGTGTCTGTAACAGTGGAGGATGCTGAATGATGAATGAGCTCTTGAGGCTGTTGGGCTTATATTCATCTGTACTGCACTGCTCAACAGAGAAAACTCAGCGCACGTGTTTCAGCTTCACACACACATACTAGTGTTGCTTTATAAAACATGTTGCTATGCTGCACTCTACTTAAATTTAAGCTTTCATTAACAGATTCAAACTGTTAAAAATGCCGCTGACACATTTCTAAAGCCAAAACATTACACATCTTAAACATCGCCATCTCTCAGATGTCTTTTTTTCATGCATTCACACTCATTCACACATCCTTTCCAATCAACACATTCAAGCCAAGCCCAGTACATGATGGCAAGTTATATATTCAGTGTTTTACGGCTCAATATGCTAATAAGATCATTTATAGAGGCGACATAAGAGTCTGAGGTGTTTCATAGTGAGAAAATTATGTCAAAAATGACCATTTTCAAGCATATCCTTTCTTCTGTTTCTGACATACTCATGCATATTGCAGAAATGTTATGCATAAAAAGAATCAAAATTGCATTTTAACATGACAGCCTCAGTGTAAAAACTGCCACATCAGGGTAATGTAAGAAAAAAAACAGAAGTCCAACTCTGACAAACAAGGGGAGAAAAAACAGCAGATCACATTTACTGCTTCTTCTTTGAACTGTGTTTCTTCTAGACAGTCGCAGGCTAAGGAGATGTGATGAATTCCCCTGGAGCCAGCGCGGGAAAAAGAGCTGAACTTGTTCTCACATCTCTTGCTGCTGAAGAGAAATAACTAGCTCCTCTCACTTTGATGGAAGGAGAAATACACACATGCACACAGGCTGGCTCTCTGCCTGGAAGTTACTCCTTTTTTTCATGCATTTTTCTCATGTTCCTTCCTCACTTTCCTCCTGGTTTCTATGCTCAACCTTTATGTTGCCATTTTCTAACTTTTCCTGCACTTTTTTGTCACTCTTCCTCACACATACACACCTTTCCTTCCCTTTCCCTAGACAAGCAATCACCATCAGAAGCCAAATCATGCATCATCATCATAATAATCACTTCCACTCCTGTAATTAACAGGATCATCCCACTGATACTCCTCTAAGGGTCCCACTTACCTGTGCAATCTCATACAGCAGTTTGTAGTGTTCCTCCCGTTTCTGCAAGGTGCACAAATTGCAGCCCATTCTAGTTGTCAGGGAAACAGTGCCGAGAGCCCGCTGGAGTGTGTGTGCAGTCTGTGGCGTGTGTGTGAGCTCCCCCCAGGGCGAAACACACTCGGGCTCCTCTTCCTCGCGCTCCCCCACACCTCTTTCTCATCCGTGTATCCTCAGAGATCCCCTCTGTCGCTGCCAGCGCAGGAAACACACACATACGTTAAGAGTGTGTGTCAGCAAAGGCTCAGGGAGTAGTTCCTTCAGTGTGTGAGAGTTTGGGTTAGTGGGTAGTGTATCACAGCCAAGAAGAAGAAGCACCTGACTTCTGTTTCCTTCTTTCCTACAAGCCCTTCCCTTGATTCGCACTTGCATGCCTATATACACTCTCCACGCTCTCTTCACTCCTACACTTCCTCTTCTCATGTGAGCACACTCCGGTTTACACACACACTTTTGCCTCATGGAGACACACCTCCTCCTGTGGCAGGCTGTCTACACATGCCTGCTCCTACTCCAGCTCATGAATAGACAGCATCTTATTGGCTGTTAAAGGGAAGGGGGCTGGGAGGAGAGGGAGGGGACTGAGTCTTATCTTTGGCAGATTCAGGATCTGAACGCTTGTGATGGTGTTGGCAGGAGAAGTAGAGACGTTTCCTCTACATAAGGAGTGTAAGTGAGTGTGGTTTTTGTTTAACATCTCCATTAGCAGGGGCTTGACCAGACTTTTTTGACTTTGGTCGACCAGTGGGGTTTTGACTCATGCAGGAGTGGTGGGATTAACTGCACAAAGTGTGGGCAGTTGTAGCCAAGGTAACAGAGACTTAACATTTATGTGGTTATGTTTTAAGAGATCAAATATTATAGGTTAAATCGAGAAAAACATTTGTCCACTAATCTTAACAAGAAACATAATTAACTGATGTCATCATCTTCCTCTAATGATGTTCAGATTTTCTTTATTTTTCTACATCATCAGTCCTGTTACTGAAACTTGTTTGGCACTGTCTCATAAAGTGATCATTTGATATGCTTTAATTAATTAATTAATCAATAAGCTCTAGCGTTGTTGTTTTTTTGATTCACAGTAGGTCTTTGAATGTCAGCTTGGTCATCTCAGAGAGCTGCTCACTTGCAATGTTTGTACCTGACAAGTTTTGGCTACCTTGCCTCTGTAGCCTTCATCAGAGTTGTCACGTGATGTTGGAGTGATGGGAGGAACAGTTCTTTTGACTCTACTGACTCTTTAGAATCCATTCATTGAAATGATCCGTTCATTAAAATGATTTGTTCACCGAATCAGTCAGTGCTTCGGAGCCCCGTCCTACACGAGTGAGTGACATAGCGGCGCTGATCAGGAGTTCATTGAATCAAATAGCATATCGCTTTAAATTGGCCGAAAATAAATCCTTCTTGCAGGAAAGTTTATCTAGACATGTATTAATGTAAAGGCGCTATAATGCACTGTTTTATATTAGCCTACGTTCATCCTCACAGTGAACAAACTGTTTGAACGACGCTATGCATCTCCCTCCTCTTCCTGCCTCAAGTCGTTCAGAAGTCATTCGCTTTGTTCACTGTCTGACTGCAAATCACAAGACTTTGCCCGCCCATTCGCTCACTGGCTGGCTGTTTGTCGTTCACCAAAGGGTCAAAGGCGGCAGTTCCATTCCCAACCGGTACGAAGTGAGAAAGGAACAAATCAGGTCTTGGAGTGATTTCATTCATGTTATTCACTCAGCAGTTCCATTCTTTTGAACAAGACATTCATGAACGACACAACACTAGCTGTGACATTGTCTGTGATGACTTAGATTGGTTCTCATGTGGGATGGCAAAACCCATATAACTCATCATAGACCACGTCACACCAACATCACATGACACCTCGAAAGAAGGCTGCAGAGGCAAGGTAGTTGCAACTTGTCGCAAACATTTTTACCTTTAACTTTCTTGCCTTTAAAGCCTCTAAAGAATAAATAAGGCGCCTCCTTTGGTTGTAAGTGGACATGTTCAGTATCCCGACAATCAAGTTACTGGTAAAGGTATTTGTCAGAGCACACAAGAGACAACTGGATTTAGATGGAAATCAATCTCATCTGGATTCAATCAGATAGCAGATAGATAGTTTTAGAGTCAGTATAATGGTTGGAGGAGTGGCATTTAGTGACCGCCATAGATTTACAGTCAAAGAGTGAGAGTCACCACACAGATGCTCCCGACTCTCTGCAGATAGACAAGGGCACTGGACTGGGCTGACACACACAGGAAGAAACACAGACTAGTATTGATTGGCTTCAAATTAGCTTCCAGCCCAACTGGCCACTCTGCACAGGGGTGAGGGGACCGAGGGGGGAGTGAGGAGGGAGAGGGTGGTGGAAAGAGGAGGAAAGAGCATCAGAGATGTGGGAGTGTAGATAAATGGAAAGTGCAGTGATGGTATTACAAACCTGTCACTCTGGGAATTATGCTAATTTACCAAACTAAATGTGTTTTGACAGAAATTTACAGCAGCGGATGCCAGTTTTATTTCTTATCAACATAATGAGGAAAAAGGTTGTCAATGAACAATTTTATGGTTACACTCACAGCACTTTATCTAGGTAAGATATTTGTGTAATTTTGAAATAAGAAAGTAAAAGCTGAATTCACCCGAAAAACGGTTCTCAAAGACGACAAAACCATTTCGATGTTTCTTGAGTACACATTTGTGTAAGTTGTTTCTCATAGCTGCGTTTTGCAATGGCTACAATGGACATTTCCACCACTAGTGTAGTTTAAGTCATGTAAGCCTTTTAAAACACCTGACGCACCATTACATGAAATATTTGAGGTCCTATTGTGCTAAAATGTTCATTTCAAGTGTAATTTGAAAGCTAGCTGTCTAGACTTCGCAGCCAGCTTCCTCTAAAAAGCAGACCTGGCTAGCCAACATAAACACCCATCCTTTCAATATCATTTTACTTACTGGTTCATTATTTTAATTTCAAATCAAACAGCACACCAGCACAGACTTGCTCTTGAAATACTTCTTTTTCATTTTCACTTTGACTTGAATTGTGATGAAAATCTGATGAAAGTCCCAGTTGTCTATACTCAACCAGAACATTCAGTTTTCCCACATTAGCCTCTAGAGAGAAAGACTTCTTACTGGGATTCTTCCTGAAAACACGATTTGCAAAACAAATTAGTACAAACATTACAGGAGGCAGACTGAATTTTAATGCTCTAAAACTGTATAAAATTAACATGTAGTTGCCTGTACTTTGTTCCCCTTGGACATTGAATATATCTCGTTTGTTCTCTTCTATTATCTTCACCTTCACATGAAGACATATGGGACTCAGTTCTCTGAACCCATCATTAGGGTTCCTTGGATGGATTTGGGTCATGCTCTCTCTCCAAAGGTTCTTCCAAATCTCTCTTGAGCATCGTGTATTTTACAGCGCAACGTCTGCAATGACTTACTGGACATTTTGGCAAATAGTAGAAGCAGATACAGTGTACACGGTCTGCATGACGAATGGCTGTCACCGCTAAGACTATGAGCAGAGAGCACAGATGCGTCATCCTTCTTATCACCAGTCATGCAGGTACAAGGACCATAGAGGTTCAGCCAAGGGCGTCGGAGCAGATCCAGATACAGCCCCCAAGATAACACTTAACTCTTTCACGCCATCCACTCTTGTCCCCCTCTGATGAGGTCAGTGTTTCCCCTGCTGACCCCTGAAGGTTACACTTTCAGGAGTGACGTCACCTCTTAATGAACTTTGGGGTTCTCCTCCGATCTCTTCCCACTGTGTCGATGATGTTTTCAGGATTAATGAAATACCCAGACTTCTGTTAAACCGCTAAACTCAGATTAGCTGACAAACCTGACAAAAAAACCCAACTCTGACTCACGAACACACTGTGAAATAAACACTGAAAATCAGAGAAACGTTCCTCTTCTTTTTCTTTAAGTGAAAGTAAATCTACTATGCATGACATTTCCACTGAAGGTGACATCATCATTGTGGTCATTTATGGCCCTTCACCATCCCTTTTATTGTTCGTATCAAGCGCTCTCCATCATCTCTACAACTTGTCTCCTCTTCCGTTTCATCATCCTCTTCCATTGTCTCCGCTGAAATGAGGAACCGGACAGACGTCTGGCTCGTGCGCTCATATAAAATTGAAGAGACTCATATAACTTTAAGAGACGTGAGATTGGAAGCCCACAGATCAGAAATTATAATATTCCACGGGTAAAAAGTGCTTCATCGTCTTTGATGTCCGAGGACTGGACCGGCAATACAAGCAGCAGAGTGGTGTCATACCTGTAATGTCGTGTGTTGAATAAATTCTTTGACATGTAGTTAACTTTAAAGGTGAGGAGGTCTGAGGTGGGTTCAAACAGCTGTACCAGTCATTTCATACTTAATGTCAGAGTCCCGTCAGCGTGCATCTCCAGTCAGTCAAAGGTTAACCAAAAATAGCTTGCTGCAGGGGGAAAGTGTTGTACTTCAAAGGCAGCCTTAAACGCCACATTAGCATAATGTTCTATATAGCCGTGATGGAAAGAAAATTGGCCACTTGGCATGTTCCTCTCTGAAAATAGAAACTTGTTAGGTAAGCTCTGAAGCGGTTTCAGTCTTAACTCTACAGTAAATCTGAGTACAAAGTTTGAAAACTGTCAGAGTCGGAGGTGTAGAAGGTAATTACAGCTGTGTGAATCCTTCACCGAGATGTTCAAAGGCCACTGTATCCTTGACGACAGACGAGGGAGTGCGTCATTGGTGGAGAGCTGATCTAATCAGGAACCATGATCACGTCTTGGGGCTGTGCTCAAAGGCCTACCCTGCAGAATACCAACAAACTTCTTTTCAATAAGTTACCAAGCACAAACTTTCTCTCTGCCTCTTACAAAGTTGCCTCCAAGCACATCAGGGTAGACAAATCCCAGACACCTTGGGGAGGTGCCACAGACAGACTGAAGACACCTCCAGGTATAAAACACCCACACACTGGGTAATTCTTACTTTCATGATCGGCGGAGATTATCTTTCTTGTAATGTCACCTTACCACTTTGGGATGATAAAAATGTTTCAAACAGCACCAGACTCTGCTTCACAGGAGTTCAAACTAAGATGTGAAGCCTGCTGAACTTCGAAGGGGGGAGGGGACACGCTATCAGGCTCAGATGACAGCTATCAATCCCTGAGTATCTGATTAATTTTCAACCATCTGCAGCAAAAAAAATTGATTCCAAATTGACTTTTTCATGTTATGTCATGTGAGGAACGATCAATACAAAAAGCAGCAACCTTTCTGCTATCGTAGACGGCTTGGCGTCTCAAAGCCAATGGCGTGAAAAAAAGCCCGAGGGCGACCCACACACTGCTCTCAATGGCCATAACCCATACATTATTTAACACTCTGAACCATTCAT